GGAAGAAATGAAGAGATGCACAGACTGACACCTGACCAGCTCTGAGAGACAAGGAGGACAGCCCTCACCTGACCTTTGTGTGTGTGTGTGTGTGTGTGTGTGTGTGTGTGCACATGCCTGTGTGTGTGTGTGCGTGAGAGAGAGCGAAAGAGAGAGAGAAAGTGTTTGTGTGAGAGTGTAAGTGACCAAGCCTCCCCCCTCCTCCTCTCTGCAGTCTTTCCTCCCTCACTCCATTCAGGAGGAAATCAATCACTGATCCGGTTTTCCCTCTGCTGCCGTCTCCTCCTCTCCTCCCTTCTTCCTGTGGCAACTCACCCCCAGCCTTACAGACTCCTCCCCTACCTACCCCCTCGTTCTTCCTCCTCCTCATCCCCTCTTCTTCTTCCTCCTCTCGGTCGTTGCTCTCTCGCTCCTCCCTCTGCCTCCTGCATCTGGCCTCAGACTGTGCTGCCGAGGAGGGACTGAATCAAGCAGTGCCTCCCTGTCTCACACACACACACATGCACACACATACACACACACACAAATACACACTCATCAACACACACGTTAACGGGACTTGGACGATCAAGTTTGGATTTTAACGGACAGATTCTGCATCTGCGCTGAGGAGATCCCAAAGGAGGAGCCAGACTCTAAGGGCCAATCAGGAACAGTCCGTTAGTGGGATCGCTGCAGCTGATTGGTCAGCTTGTTCGGGCGTTTCTCCTCGTTCTTTGTGAGTGTCTGCTGGATCACTATGCAGAAACAGACTCTCTGGGAGCTACTCACACATACACATACACACACAGTCATGCCTCACCCTCTCTGACACACACACACACTCACACACAAACACACACACACACACACACTCAGAGTAATTTGCCAAACGTCTCTCCCTGCAGACAGACTCTCCCTGCGGCTGGAGGACAGACTCTGATCGAACTGTTCCTTCTCTAGAGCTTTTGTACAATACGGATGAAAAAAGCAGAAATTGAAAAAGTGAATTTTTATTTTATAAGTCAATCAAGCCGCTGGGGTCAGCTCTATAGGAGTTATAGAGTCTACATGGCTTTAAGGCATCTGATCGTTGGTTTGCCAAACTCATTTTGTAAATAATGAAACAAAGACATCATCCTGTCCGCCGGACTTCTGCGCCATAAAATAGGAAGCTTCAGTTATGCAAACTTTCAATGTTAACCCAAGCAATACACACATTAGTTTCTCCTCTACACTGTCTCTTCTACTGTGCAGCATGTCTGAGGATGTAAAGAGACAGTTAAGGTTGTTTTGAGTGGGGTCGTTGAGGTTCTGATCAATACTTAGTGCTTTATGTGCAGTAGTCAGGGGTCAGCACGGCTCCTGTTTGGAGAAGCACAGACTCGGAGGCTTAGCTGTAGACCGGACTCAGAGAAGAATTAACTTTAGCCTTTTTAGAAGGAAACTCCATCTAAAAAATATGAATCACCATAAGAAACATCAAATCTGGAACAAAAGTTACACCATTGTGTCAGACTTATTTAATTTTTCTACTTTTCTCTCCACGGCGAACAGTATTTCAAAATTAACTTGACTTTTATGTTCTTCTTGATGTCATCTGTTCTCATGTCGAACTACTCTCCAAACAGCTGATCTGATCCTGTGTACTGTTTGCAGAAATAAGCAGTAAAAAAATGAAAAAGATAAATCATACTTGAGTTTATTAAAATTACTTGACTTCTTTAGCAGCCAAAGTTTGCTTGTCCGGTTTTTTAAAGCTCAGCCTCTGCAGAAACTCCAGCAGCTCCTACAGAGACCATGCAGACTGTGATCTACTGCGAACTTATCACTGATAGAAACTTCAACCACCCCAGTCTACACAAACTAACCCTTTAACCTCAGTGTCTAATCCTGCTCCAGCTGCACTCCTCCTCTGTCTCTTCCTCTTTTTCCGTTTCAGATTCAAATCTCTGCAGTTATTGTTCCCTACAGTCTGTCAATGCACCATCCCTGTCTTTCTGCACACATGCATCCCTCTGTTGCACGTGTGAGTTGCAGCTCTGTGTTGCTCCTCTCTGTTGCCTCTCCCCTACCCCCCACACCCCCCACATCCCCTTCAGATCAGTCCCTCACGTCGGGCTCTGCTCAGCCTGTCCGTCTGTCTGTCTTCATGTTGTTTCGGTGCCAAACTGCTGCTGTCAGAGTGACTGCAGCCTCCTCTGCTACATCGACTGTGACGCCATGACTCCCTATTTTATGGCCAGAGTCCGTCCTGCGGCGCTCATGAAGACTCTTTTGGACGACGGTGTTGATTAACATGAAATTTGACGAGTAGAAGATGAGCAAGAGTAAAAAGGGAAACGTTGCTGTTTGAGTACATAACATTTCTAGACCTATTTTAACTTTACCTCAGCTAACAGTTTCTTATTAATGTAAATGGACACATTATTTTTATCTTTATGAATATGACATTCTACAGTGAGTTTTTAGATGATTTTTGGTTCTCTCTTGATTTACGTCTTCACCATGTATTACTGTTACAAATAAACACATCCCAGATGACTCGGTGTGTTTTTATGTGTGTGTGTGTGTGTGAGAGAGAGAGGCTAATGGTGTGTGCCCAGCAGAGGTGACCTCCACTGAGCCTTCAGTTAGAGAAAAGTAAGTGCCACAGTATTTTGTTGTAATTTAACATGGCTTTAATGGCCTGTCACATTCTGCTGCACACTCGCCTCTAATGTGAGCTGTGAGCAGCCGGCTGCAGCACCGAGCTCAAGCCCTCCTCCTGTACTCTGCTCTCCCTTTGGAAGAGAGGAAGGAAACATTACAGCAACACAGTAGATCTGTGTTTACAGGACAAACTTGGCATCTGCTGGATGATTTAACAAGATTTACTGCTGGGACATGGATGAAACTGATGCAATGGCTCAGTCTCCATAGAGTAAAGCCAGTTTGCAGTGTCTGCTCCAGGATCAGCATTTAAAATAACAGATTGAAAGAAGCTTTCCCAAAAAAAAATGTTGATGTTTTTCAAGTCTCGGTAACACTTTATTTTGCATTATAATCACATTATAGCACTGTATAACTATAGTTACAAACACTCATAAATGATCATAATGCTTTATAGCAATAATCATAACACATTATAAAGCATTTCATCATGACTTACAAGGTCAGGTATTATAATGTGTTATAACTGTTAACAACAGTTACATTGCACTATCTATTTTCAGTGAGTTGTTAACAGTTATAACACATTATAATACCTGATCTTGTAAGTCTTGATAAAATGCTTTATAATGTGTTATGATTATTGCTATAAAACAGTGGTTCTCAATCCAGTCCTCGAGGTCCACTGTCCTGCATGTTTTGGATGTTTCCCTGCTCCAACACACCTGATTTAAATGATCAGCTCGTTATTAAGCCATTACAGAGCTTGATAACGAGCTGATCATTTGAATCAGGTGTGTTGGAGCAGGGAAACAAACAAAACATGCAGGACAGTGGGCCTCGAGGACTGGACTTAAGAACCATTGCTATAAAGCATTATATGAGTGTTTGTAACTATAGTTATACAGTGCTTTAACATGATTATAACACATTATACATATATTTGTAATGCGTTATAGAGAAAGACGTCAAATTAAGTGTTACCCAAATCTTTTCTGTCTTTGGGAGATAAATTCATGGAGTCAAGAGGAACATCTATTGAAAAAAAACATCTAAAACACATCTATAATCTAGGCAAATGCTACACACATTAGTGTCTGTATATTGCACTGGGATTACAAGTGTGTATTTTCGGCTGAAAATAATGTAATATTACACCGGAGGGTCAACCAGGAAAGTTTGAAGTTTCAACACTTTTTCGTAACAGCAACAATCACACACCTTCTTTTTCTATTTTTCTGATCCATCAGCCCTGCGCACACTGCTTTAACTCTTATCAATGTTTAAATCCTGTGTGTTTATCTTATTTATAGTTGTCACAAATCTCAGTGACAAGATAAGTTCAGATAGAACATCTTAGTTTAGGATACACACGGTCAGTCCAGTTAGAGGCGCGAAACATTCATAACAGTCTGCTCTCGGTAAAAAATAAGACAATTTTGAACTGACCTTAGTGGATTTATTTTTATTAAGTTTATTCTGGTATTGGTTCATCTTTGCTCTTTCTGCACCTTCACTAGGACACTACATTATTTATTTAATTCAAGTGTGACTGTTCCATGGATAAAAAGATGACTAAGAATGAAGTCAGAGTTGAACGAGACTTGCCTTTATCTATCTGTCTGTCTGTCTGTCCGTCTGTCTGTCTGTCTGTCTAATAAGGGTTTTCTTATATTGGAGTCAATACTGTAAGTTTATTAAAGCATATTCTACCATAAATTAGCAAATAACAGTGGTTTTGCTGTGAGATTTTACAGTAAGCAGCTAGTTGGTAACACCTGAATGGAAAAAGACTCTTTTCTGTGTTTCAATCTTGGACACACCTGTCAGACCGTGCTCAGGGAGTCAGAGACATTTCCTCTGTCATGAAGTGCGTGCGCGTGTGTGTGTGTGTGTGTGTGTGTGTGTGTGTGTGTGTGTGTGTGTGTGTGTGTGTGTGTGTGTGTGTGTGTGTGTGTGTGTGCTGCTGCAGGAGGATTTATGTCATATCACAAATACCTCTTAAATAGTTTTGTATTATGTGTAACAAAGCTGGAATGCAGAGTGTCCTCTCTCCTTGTCTTCCTTAGAGTGTCTACCTTTAACACTAACCCTCATCGTGTTAATCACTCTCCTCCTCCTCACTCATTGTTACAGCTCTGAACACTTTCTAAACACAGACTCTGTTGTGAGGGGAAATCAGCTTGTAAATCAAACCGTTTTCAGTTAAAAACAGCTCCGGCAGCCTGCAGGTTTCATGACAGTGAGTCACATCGGTGCCAGCCGGGCCACATTCCTGCAGGATCAAAAATCCCAGAGCTGTTGAGAGTCAGAGTGTTGCGTTAAACAGACTTGTCAGACGGGATGGACCGTTTTTAAAGATGTGAATACTGAGGCTCATTCCTGCACTGAAACCATCTGCTGAGCGCCTGACACGGAGACACAGAGACAGTGAGAGAGAAACTGTGACAGAGACAGAGAGGAGACTCCTCCAGGCCTAATTTCAGCTGTTTTTTTAATTTTTGAACAGAATGAGAGGCTAAAGAAAACTGACTTTTTCTCCACTTGGAAGGTTTTGTCGATTTGGTGGATTAAACACAATGGATCAGGTATGTAGCCCTTTAACGACTTCAAACCCTCCCTCTTAGAGGACTTGTTTTCCGTTTCTGTCCTCTAAGTATACTGTTTCTACTTTAAGTCTACAGTTTCATATCAAAATAATATCAGATAAATCCTCAGAAAGCTCTGATTTATCATCTGTAAAGCTGAAAGGGTCATTGCACAATAATCTGAATCTTAATCTAAACAGGCTAATTTGAAGATTTTGAGGTTCACTCTGGATGTTTATTCATATTTACTGCAAAAACTTTAAACGTAATACCTTTTTGTCTCATACCTGGTTCAAAAAAATATCTCATTAGACCACATGTGTCACACTAACCTGACAGGTCCGGATAAACGTCGTATTTCAAGTCATTACAAGCCAAAAATAAGGCCTACATTTATTGAAATGGGACAAAATCTGTGAATGGGGCAATAAAGGTGTTCTTGCTAATTTCATTCAGTTGAGACATTATATCTTCCTGAAATATGCAGGTGAACTATTGTGACCTATCAGACATTAAATAGAACAAGACACTAGTTTAGTGTACTATAATCTGGGTGAATGTTAGTCATCATATCATCTTTCTTTTTTTTTTTTTTTTTTAATAATTCTGACTCTCTAACATCCCGTGTGTAGAAAATTTTATTCAGATAAATGCCAAAAATTTCCCCCTACTTTGTCCAGAAGAAACATGCTTTAAACCCGGAGTGTGATTCTGTTGTGAAATATAACACTGATGATCAACACTGTCAGGAATTTTAGAGTAATAAAACAGTAAAATGCTCACAGCAGTTTACTTTACTGTAACCTACTGTCATTTTTCCTCCATTTTTTGACCAATTTTCTTGCCAGTTTTTGACCATCTCTTGGTTGATTTTTGGCAGTTTCAACCACTTTTGAATGTTTTATTTTAGCCATTATTGGCCAGTTTTGACTGTTATTTCACTGTTTCTTTGGTAGTTGCTGCACAGATTGGATTTGTTTGAAAAAAGGTGGCATCTGTTTTTATTTTTGATAAAAAATGGCACCCAAACAGGAACTCTAAGATAAAGTTTTAAACTTCTTTAATGAACAGAGCTTCAACAGGACTTTGTGGACAATAAGAAATTAGTGTCAAAATGCAATTAGACTGTCAGAAGTTACATGACAACTAAGGAAAATGAAAACCATAAAAAGCATCAAATCATAGAAAAAAATAAGAAAAAAGTTGAAACATACTTTCTTGTGCACAGATTTATAACCTACATCAGAAAACAATCACACCCATCCTGCTGCTTTATGAAGTTAAACCACAGTTATCTACTGTTTTTGTGGGTTGACAGCATTAATTAATACCATTTATCTAGCAGTGTTTTACAGAAATACACCGTAAGATACCGTCCTACATCCACCTTACATTTACAGGAATCTGTTACAGTGTTTTCTCCATCCTATCTTGTCTTCTCAGACACCATCAGCTGAATGTGTCTCTGACCTGTTGACCTCACAGTAATGTGTCACATGTAATTCCTCCTCAGGAGAACTCACTGGACTTTCAGGCCCTCAGGGCAAAGTTTCAGGAAGAAGACATCCACTATAAGCAGCCGAAGATCAAACCCGCTCTGCCAGAGAAACCAAAGGTTGTCCCCCCACCCTCCAGCCCCACCCACTACCTGCCCGCAGGGGCCCGCCCCTCCCTGCTCACCTCCATCAGCCAGTCCTTGGAGGGGAAGTCTCAGGTCGCCCCCAGAGTGGTCTTTAAGGACGATAAGAAGGAGAGCAAGAAGCCTCTGCTCCTAAATCACGGTAAGGGGAAGGAGAAGAGTGAGAAGGTGAAGAAAGGGAAGGACAAGGCAACAAAGGGCAGTAAAGAGCATCTGGACCAGGATTTACCCCAGGACAAGCCGAAGAAGGAGGGCAAAGAGAAAAGGATCTCCATATTTCCCCTCACGCCAAAGGAAAACACCACAGAGCTGGTGCCAGTGGCACCTCCACCTAAGAATACAGTGACAAAGAAGAAAGGCTTCCTCGGCTTCAGAAAGTCCATGAAGAAAGAGACAGTGGAGGTGCCCTCAGACCCCATCCTGGACATTCCCAGTACAGAAGTTCCCGGGCCAGTTCCTCTGATCCCGGTACCATCTGACTTTGATGACACCCTGCCTGAGCCCGAAACCAGCCCCCTGAGGGCTCTGCTCCCAAACATCCCTACCCTTCCTGACCCCGGTACTGCTGTGGAGGTGACCCCATCCTCCATCACCCCAGACTCCCCTGACCTTACCCAGCCCCCCGCCCTCATCCCTGCAGTCCCCCAGAGTGAAACCTCCTTTCAGGTAGAAACTCCAGCTTTGAACATCTCCAGACCAGTCAGTCAGAACGACCTCAGTCCACCCAGCGCCATCCCCACGCCCCCACCCGGCCAAGCTGCTCCTCCAGTCATCTCCACCCCCTCCCCCACACCCCCTGAACCGGTGGCTGTAGCTGAGCCTGATATTGAGGCCATGATCAGGGCAGCAGTGGAGAAACCCCCCACGCCAGTCATAGAGCCTCCATCTAAGACACCATCTCCCAAACTGGAGCGCCCGGTCTCTGCCCTGTCAGCCCTGGAGAGGGCGGAGGAGCTGAGTCCGGCCAAGAAGACTGTACCCTGTGACCAGAGGATCTTCAACGCCCTGCAGAAAGCCCGCAAGAAGACCCCCAGGTAAACCGCCCCCACCTTTTTCACACACAAACTCAGAAGGTTCCAAACTGTCAGAGCTTACTCTGTTTTTTCTTTCCAGCTCTATGTCAAACCCCACCTCCACCTACTCCATCACCCCTCCTCCTGAAGAGTACCCCCCTCCTCAGAGTCCCACCAACTCTTTCCCAGAGCTCCCACCTATTGACTATGAGGCTGGAAAAATGCCTCTGGTCAACGGCCTGGACCACAGTAAGTTCGACTCTCTCAGAGTGTTTACATCTTGGTTCTGATTCTGATCCTGGTTCTGATCATATTGATGATATGGTGTTCAAATACACATGGAGAAACCTAGTTCTGATTACAGAAGTTTATTCCTATAGATGCCTGGGATCGTTACATTTATACCTCAAACCACAGGGATTTAGAAATCAGAGGAAAACCAGAGTACTGTGGATCATAATAGACTGACCACTATTGAATTATGATTTAGTATTTAAATTTAGTGTTTAAAAAAAAGTCTGAAATTTGTCTGGAATTACCACAAAATGTCAGCATCAAGCGCAGATGTGGTGCACTGTTGTTATGACTGTTGCAACATACTGATGTCAGTCATAAATGTCTGTTTTAAAAAATGACACTGATATTCAGAGATTCATTATGAATCAAAGACAACATCAGGTTAATCTTCAGATTACTGATAAATGAAACATTTTACTTTTTAACTTGAACTGTTTTTTTTTAGTCAGTTCAGTGACTTCCTGTCTATGAGATGTAGCTTAAACTTCAAAATAAAAGCACATTTTTACCATATGGAAAATAAAGGAACCTAAACACAAGATAGGAAACTATCAAAATAAAATCATGACAGACAATCTGAAATTTTGAAATAGTATTCTTATCATGATGTTTTATGCTAAAAAGCTGATATTATGACGGCCCTCATTGTAGTAATGCGTCTTCAGTACTGCCTTATGTGGTCTGACTCACTCTTCTGTTTGTGTTGGTAAACCAGCATCCTGTATCATGTTCATCTCAGAACACGATCAGTGTTTTGATACTTTCTCCGTCTAAACTTTAAATTAACTCATTTTATTACCCCAAAAACACTCAGTTTCTTTGTTGCTCCAGATGTAAAATCTTCGTGTTGCAGCGGCCATGTTTATTTTGAGACTCCGCTTGGCTGGAGTCTCACCTGTGTAGGTAGTCAGCAGCTGTTAGAAAACAGGGTAAGGCGTATAGATGCCACATTATGCTGTTTCTCCGGGAGTTCCCCAGGTTGAAACATTTGGTTTCTCCAAACCAGAGAACTTATCCCTCACTGCAAAACCTCGAATATAAGTGTCTTTGTGTCATTCCCTGTGAAATGTGACATAATGAGTTAAACATAAGCCACCTGACAGGTATAGAAAATATAATTTTAGAGATATAACATGCAAGAAATAATACTTGAATTAATTTTAATGAGTAAAAACAGAAATCTTAGAATGGAATAAGAAAAAATACTTGCCAAGCATTTTTATATTTTGAGAAAGTGAGGTCTGCGCTTGGAAAGGTAACTTATTCTATTTCCATCAGCAAACGTCTTTTTCAGATCCTATATTTGGTGTCATATCTTTAAATATTGACTTGTCAGGTGACTGTGATTTGAATATATCCTAACAAGTCATATTTCACTCGAAATAAGACAGAAACGTTTGCTGAGATTTGGATTTTTGCTGTATCATTTCTGAAGTCAGGTTCTGATATTTTCATGAACAAACCAGCCCAGCTCAAGCCCAAGTAAACGCAGTCATTTCTACACACTTTTCATTCTGTTGTCGTTTCATTTCTTTTTTTGTTTCTTTTCTGAGAGCGTTTACCTGACGCTAAAACTCACAGCAGCATATCTCAACATCAGTGTGTCAGGTACGTGGTGTGCACCTGTGCAGCTGCGCATCATCATTTGTTTCAAGAAGGAAACCTGGAATGTGCAGTATGGTTTATGCTGCAGGGTGGCCTCAGGTGTTGTTAGAAAACACACACACACACACACACACACACACACGACCTGACATCCTGACATTCGTCCTCTGTGCCAGAAACAACTGAGCAGCAGGCAGGGCAGAGCTGCAGGAATGTGAGCGATGAAGCAGCAGGTCCATCAGAGACACAAACACAGTTTATAACATCAGTCACACACTGAGAGTGAGTCTGCTGCTGCTGTCTGCACTTCACTCACTCTCATTAGAAAAAGATGTTCAAACCTTAGCAGAATCTATCTATCTATCTATCTATCTATCTATCTATCTATCTATCTATCTATCTATCTATCTATCTATCTATCTATCTATCTATCTATCTATCTCCATTTGTATAGTACTTTTCACACAAAGGAAAGAGTACTTGACTCTACCAAACCCCATCCCCGTCCCCTCATCCCCGCTTTGCAATCCAAACACAACAGGCGAGTTATAAAATGCATTGACTGAATCGAGCTTCATTTAGTCAAAGCAGGATTATGTGCCCTGAGTAAATGCCACCTTAAAATTCAAAATGCCAGGACACAAACCTCCCACCGTTTTCTCTGAAGTGCAGACCCATTTTTTTTTAGAAAATAAGTAAAGCAAGTAAGAAAAAAAAGTGAGGTTTATCATAAGAGATGATACAGTTACTAAAAATGCTGTTGAATTTGACAAAAGAAATATTTAAGTCAAAAACCAAAACTTTTGCACGATCAGTCAGATACATGAAGTCAGCAGTCAAGAAGATGAAGATGGTAAACACAAAGACAGAACCAAAGTCTGGTCTCTGTCTTGGTCCACCAACCCTCACTCCCTCCTCCTCCTCCTCCTCCTCCTCCTCTTCCTTTGTCTCTCAGATTGTCTCCATCCATCTCTTACATCACCTTTAGCTAACCTGTGCTCTAAGCTGGTTTATTCTGGTTTCATCTCATCATTTGCATTAGGTGTGTTTTGTTTAAAATCTGAGAGTGCAAACTTTGACACCTTTGCTGTAATTATATTTTACTTCTGACACATGTGGTTACCTTCATCCATTCCAGATTTATCACGTGTAAAATATTGGATTTGTTTAGAGAGTGTATTTTGGGTGTTGCTAAGAAAGTGACTGAGATCGTCAAAGTGTGACTGACTTGGTAAAAGTTTTGAAGATTTTACCAGAAGAGATATAAGTTCAGTAAAGGGCTCAGACCACTCACCATTTAAAAGTTTTAAAAAATTTGTGAATATAATTAGTTTAAAGAATCTCTAACAGACAATCTGGGGTCAGGAATGAGCTGTGGAAGATATCAGCAAGTGAAAAGTATAAAAAAAAAGATCTCATCCACAAGTGACAGTGACATGATTGCAGTGACATAGCTCCTTATCAACAGATCTGCCGAGTCAAAAACGCTGAACCGTGAGATTTGTGAGAAAAGGAAAAAGCTGCTGCATCACTCTCAACAAAATGACACTGTCAAAAGCAGTGATTTATCCTGCAGGGCATGAAAGTCGTTGGTCTAGTCACTTTGTTTGTATCTTGGTGCAACTTTTGTGTTTCTGAACAGTGAGTTTGGACCTAATACATTATTTGGGTTTAGATAGGACAGAGGTAGACCAGCAACACCTGTATAGGCCAATTAAAACTCCAGGTTTCCTCATCCTCGTCTGGTGTGTTTATCAAGGAGACATTTTTAGAGGATACAGTTTAGATAAGTGTTGCATTCGAGTGTTATTGCAGGTGCAACAGTCTGTCTCATCACCTGATTTGATCTACTGGATCTACTGTAGAACTTTTAATGTCAGCTGTACCCCCAGTTTGTGCCACCTTTCATTTGAACCACAGTACTGACACTGTAAGCTGAACAATTTCTGCTCTGGTTGCTGAGTTCTTAATAGAAAAGAAGTTCTCTTTCTTGTAATGAAGAAAAGAGGCAGTTCATTAATTATATCAGAATACAGAGTTAACTTTAACTGTAAAGAGGAGCTTGAAAGCCAAAGTTACAGACACAGAACAAAGAGGTGTGTTTGAAGTTTTGTCCACTGTCAGTGTCTTCGTAGGACTGTCCTGGTTTCTCTCTGTGAGTGTATTATCTCCGCTCTGCAGAGTTTTATCACAACAACATTCACACTGTGTTAGACTGGTTTGGTTTCCTCGAACTGAATTCTTCCACCCTGCTCTCTCTCTCTCTCTCTCTCTCTCTCTCTCTCTCTCTCTCTCTCTCTCTCTCTCTCTCTCTCTCTCTCTCTTTCTCTCTGTTAGACTTCCTCGTTGTTCAGCTGAAGTCTTTTGTGTTTTACTCTTGCTGCCTTATCATGTTGGAATCTTGCTGTAAAAATAAGGATTTCCTGTATCGAATCGCCGTCGAATCCAGATTAACGTTCACATATTTAAGGTGTCAGCTGCAGCCTGTAACCCTCTATTAGAGCTGAAATTAACCTAGGTTTAAATATGTCAAATTTGAGTGCATCCACTAAAACTGCTTATTTTAAGAGGCGGTGTCATGCCCTTTCATATTTTACAGACAAACTAGGACGTCCAAATGTCAGATGTGGATACTGAATATGGTTAGAGTGTAAAACTGTGGGTTAAGATGTTGGAGTAATGAGACATCAAAAACTCACACAGGAATTATGTGATAGCCATGCCAGATTTGATCAGTTTGTGACATAACCAGTCAAAAAAACCACAATAATATTATTAATAATCTTGTTGGGGTTTTTATGTGCCTTTCCAAACTTTTCCAGGTCAGTTTTGGAGTACAAAACATGCCGCAATACATCAACATTTGTAAAGGCAGTCAGTGTGTTTACCTGACCAGTTGAATGGAGCTACAGTTAGAGACTTAAACCATTGTCCTCCCAGTATGCTCCTAGTTTACAAGAACTGGGCAGGGATTTACTGAAAAAGTTTGAGTGTGACCTCAGTTAAGCTCACAGATCTCTGGAGTTGGTACTTCCTGAAGTTGGTTGTTGAGTTTCTGAACTACTGACTTGACTGGTCAGTTTTTGCTGTAAAATACAGTGGCCGTGAGGTGCAAAACACAACGGCAAAACAGAAAACACAACACAAAAACAGAAAACACAATGCAAAAAGAGAAAACGCAATGGTTAATGTTGTTGTTTTTTCTGATTTGCTGTTGTGTTTTCTCTTTTGTGTTGTGTTATCTCTTTTGTGTTGTGTTTTCTGATTTGCTGTTGTGTTTTGCACCTCAGGGCCACCATAGTAAAATGACCGATCGTGTCAAAAGTTGACCAGCAACTCCATTATTCTGTGAAGTTAAACTCCTGTTTTTCTCAGAGTACTGTTTGTATATGTAGGTTCTCGTTCATCCAAATTGATTCTATACATTTGTGGGCTTTAAACTTCCAACTCTGGCCCCAGTCACTTCAGAAATGATGACCTTTTTGAAGTGAGGCGAAACGTCTTCAAGAACCTCAAATAAATCCAGTTATTCTGAACCTCAAACAAGTCCAGTTGCCCTTTCAACAAAGAAATGGATCAGAGTGCTGTTTTTGTTTGCAGGGAGTGTTCTATCAGCTGTTTCTGTAGGATAAAAATCATCTCTGTCTGTAAGAAAAGCTATCTCTGTAATTCTGTCAGACTGTGAAAATAACAACCTGAGCCTGTAAGGGACAAAAATCGACTACTTTAACAGAATCCGTCTGGGAGAGAGCGGCAGATATTACAGGAAAAGCTGCTGGTTGATCAAATCTACTGATATAATTTCACAACTGTTTGTTCCTGTTGGTCAATCAGAGCTTGAATATGTAAACAAACATGAGGTAACAATCAAGCTTTCTAATAAGACTTCATGAAACCAGAAACCGTCTGACAAACTTCCTGGTTCTGCTTGTTAAGATCACAACCACGATACTCTGATGACTCTCCACAGGGCAGGCCTCGCCGGTGTTGGAGGGTATCACTGAGGAGGGAACAGACCCCACTCCAGAGGTGGTGGTGGCCCCCCCTCTTCCCCCAAAGAAGAGCCTCCCAGACCCCTTGGCACTGGGTCCAGCTCCACAGAAACCAGACAGACCTTCCTCTGTGAACCTGACCCCATTCATGCCTCCTCCACCTATAGAAGGTAGCTCTGATGTGGACTCTGTCACACCTGTATGACCCTGTTACAGGTAACTGTCCTCTCAGTAATGCCCCTCTGTCTTGCAGATATCCCAGCTCCCTTGGACTTCTCAGAGACCGACACCACCGATGTCCCAGAGTTTGAAGACGTGACATCCGACGCTAACTCACCTGAGCTCCAGGTGTCAGAGTGGGGAAACGGGGACTACACCAGTCCAGAGTCTCCTGATGGACACAACCTTTCAGAACCTTACAGTAACGGGTTACCTTCTCCAGCAGCCGAGGTCCATGCAGCACCAACATACGGAGACAATCCTCTGACAGAGACCATCACCATTCCCATCTCTCAGGAGGCTCCTCCAGCCGAAGGGTGAGTCTCGGGCATAACTCTGCTCTCTTTGTTCTAAATAATCCAGCTCTGGATTTAATCCCTGATCCTGATTTCCATCCAGGGTTCCTGTTGTAATTGGAAACGGCATCTATGAGAGCTCTGAAAATGTGTATGAGGATATTGGAGCATCTGCCACAAAGAAGAGAGGAAAGACAGAAGGAAAGAAACGCAAAGGACCCCCAAAGAGTGAGTAAACTCAAGATGTCTGACTTTACAATCCATTACATCATTAAACAACATTAAAATACAAAACCACCACAGTGAAGTTTTGAGCTGATTATTAATCCACACACTTCAGAAGCTCCTCTGAAGTTAGGATACACTTTACGTCCCCTTGATGCAGCCAAATGTACAACACAAGTCACAACTTAATAACTTTCCACCTTTAACTAGAGGTAGCAGACTGCAGATCGTCTGGTTTAATCCAGTCTGAATGAAAGTTTCCTGATGTTTGACTAGTAGTAAAAGAGGAGAAGCTGCACAATGACTAGTCTTCAGCAAAAGAATTAGATCCTAATGTTTTGACCCTGTCAAACAAAAGACCTTGTACAGAGGGGTGGGGCACAGACATATACATAAATCCTGCATACCAACAGGCTGATAAGCACCATGTTGACAGGTGTGATCAAACATGCACAGCCTGTTGAATCTGCTCTCTCTGTCTTTGCTTACCCTTTGTTCAGCCGGAATTGTTTCATATCGGTATTTCAAAGTAGATCCAGAGCTCTGGGTTGAAAATATAAATACAAATCAGCAGGCATATATTGTGGGTTTAATTTATTTATTTTTTACAGCTGTCCTCACTCTCTGTAAAAACTCGCCAGTGGTCCTGAAAGCTGTATAGCTGTACCTCAAACCTGAACAATCCTGTAGATTTCTATTAAGCGTCCTTTTTTCTCCCACAGATCCGTACGCTGAAGCTGCACAGGAAACAGTAAGCTGATTTTCAGTTTAAAAGCCTACCTTTGTTCCTGAAGTGTCTCTTATATGTCAGAGATTTGAATGATTGAGGAGAATTAAGTCTTATCTGTTTCTGCTGTTTACAGAGTGAAGAGAAGAGCAAGACGGGCAGGTTTTGCAAGTAAGGACTCAGTTCATAACCCACCTCCCTTTACATGCACCCCTTAAAAAACACCCTGTCTATCCTTTGCTGTTTAAAGTGAGGACAGTCTGCTGCTGTACACACAGCAGGGAGGCCTGCTCAGTCCAAATGATGCGTCCTTGCCTCTGTGTCCTGCAGGAACGAGAAGAAAGCATCTACCGAGGGGCCGGACGAGAAGGAGCTGAAGAAGAAGGAGAAGCAGCGTCAGGAGAAGGAGAGGAAGGAGCAGAAGGAGAAGCAGGAGAGAGAAAAGAAGGAGCAGAAAGAGAGAGAGAAGAAGGAGAATGAGATGAAGAAGAAATTCAAAGTGAGTGATGTTTTTTTTTTTTTTTTGATGATGACAGAGGAGGGAGGGTGGGGTCTACGTCCTGGCATTTAAACCTGTCTGGATTCATTCCTCCTGCTGGAGTCGAGCTGAGCGACCTATGCAGCACGGAGGAATCTGAGTAAACACCGCCTCATTGTTTCTGTAGTTTGACACAGATCTACAGAGCAGACTCTGCTTTCACTTCTTAGATTATTAATATCATTATCATGGAGGTCTCTGGGATCCACATGGGCCTATCAGAACTGATGTTTAGGACCACTGTGCAGATAAGATAACTGTTATCATCAAGTGTTGTAGTTCCCCTCTACTCTTGCGGATTAAAACAATCCTGCTCCGTCCCAGCAGTCAAGCAATGTTTAACTTTCCAGAAATCTGTATAAAACAGCTGTTTACATCCTATAAACTGTGCACCTGACACCTAACCCAGCAAGGACACTTATGATTTATAAATTGTCATTATTGTGAGAGATTGTCTGACATAGATGAGACCATCTGACTCTTAGAGACACCAAACTGTTCAAATAGATTTGATTATATCCTCTTCTTCCTGCTGTGTCTCTAGATCACAGGACAGGAGGACGCCATGTATGAGGCCACTGTTACTGTGACAACCAAAGGACGTAAGAACGATCTGCCCGTCACAAGTGGGGACGTCATCAGCGTCATCAGGACAACAAACTGTCCTAAAGGGAAATGGCTGGCTAGAGACAGCAGCAACAACTGTGAGTGCCTAAAAGCTTGAAAGCTTCTCATTTACATCCTTATTCAAATCTTAGATATATTTTTGACTGTATTTTGAAGAAGATTCAACATGTGTACATTCAATTTGATGAATCTGCAACATGTTTGTAAAAAGCTGATAAAGGGACAACCAAACAGGTAAAAAGTTGTGTAATGCTTAAAAAAGAAATAGGTAGAGGAACATCTCCAACTAATGAGGTTAATTTCCAACAGGTTAGAAACATGACTGGGTATAAAAAAGACATTCAGAGAGGCTGAGACTCTCATAGGGAAAGATGGGAAGAGGTTCACCTCTCTGTGTATATAATAAATACATAATATCCTTAAAAGATTCATAGAATCTGGAGAAATCTCTGTACAAAAGGGACCAAAACCAATACTGGATGGTCCTGATCTTCAGGGCCTCAGGCAGCTCTGCAACAGAAACTGTCAGGACCTTGTAGTGGAAGTCACTGCATGGGCTCCATATTACTTGTCAACACAGTTCATCACTGCATCCACACATGCAGGTTTAAACTGAACCATGCATCGCGTATTTCAAGGCTTCATGAATGCTGAACAATATATACAGGTTTAGGAAATGCAGTTCATTTTCTGTGTGTGTGTTTCAGATGGGTATGTTGCCGTGGATCACGTGCGGCTGGACATTCAGGAGATGTTGAACATGGGGAAGAAAGCAGCGATCAGCCGCAAGACCAACATCAACAACAACAACGTGGTTGAGCCAGAGGCACCCCGGGCAGAGAGCAGGTGTGTTTGTGTGTGTGTTTTCGTGTGCGTGTCTTTGTGTGTTTTGTTTTTTATATATATAATTATAACACTGCAGAGTCTTGTGACAAACACTGATGCCCATTTTTCTTTTTTTGTTTCTCAGATCTTCAAATCATTATCCTCTATCAGCAGAGAGCTGTGAGTAACTTCTTCTTAGTTCATCATCAGTGTGTGTGTGTGTGTGTGTGTGTGTGTGTGTGTGTGTGTGTGTGTGTAAATGTGTGATAGTGTGTATGTGTGCTATAGTGTATATGTATTTTATTTTAGTGTATAGTAATATTATTTTAGTGTTTGTGCAGCAGTCTGATGTGTGTGTGCTCAGTCACAGATGACAGTGAGGAGTGGACTGGTGATGATGATGAGCTCATGACTCCTCCCCCTAACGTCACAGATCCTCTCGCCTCACTGTAAGTCCATGTCAGCATGAAAAAAGCATGTGAAGGATTCAAATCTCATTAACATAATTTATTATCGGATGTTTACTTATTGATGAAAAGCTGTTTCTCACCTCTGACCTGTCATCTGCAGGGGTCACACCAGAACACTCTCCATGCCTGACATGGGTAAGAGCAAACTGACTTTTTTTATTTGATTTGATCTGTGGATTCAAACAAGCTATCTGTACCCAAATACAAACTCATATTTAAAAGTTTTTTTTCCTTAAAAAATTGTCATGACCATCAAAAACACCAAGTTAGCTCTCAGTCAACATTTTTTTGCAAATTCAATCCCTGCATGTTTTTTTATTTATTTTAACCTTGCAGTTTTGACCGTTCTTTCCAACTTTCTGCACCAGGAAGTGGATGACCTTTGCTGGGGCATTTACATCAGTCATTCACAGCTAATGTTTCAAACAAAAAAGCCTCAAAGGTCAAATAAAACAGCTGTTAATAATGTGTCCTGGTGGTTTTACGCAGAAGGTTTTAAATTCACTAAGACAAACCCTCATAAATTCAGTCTCTATGGAGGATCTGCAGCTTCTCAGCGTCTGACCTTATTAAACATGCAGTTATTTAAATGGGCAGGGCTGCTAACAAGGCCCTCCGCTGATTGGCTGACAGAGTGAAGACGTCTGTGTTGGTTTCTGCGACCAATAACAGAGCAGTGGGAAAGTCTATCTTTAACCTTTGACATCTTAACTCTACAAAACTGAAGCAGAACCAGAATATTGTAGTAGAAAACAAAGGGGGAGTAGTTTTCATGCAGCTCTTTAGACGCTTTACTTTCCTAGCAGGTGGAACAATGGGGGAAATTTCACTTCCACATTCTCAGGACTGCTCTGTTGGAAGATTGCGCAGTTACTTCCTCCACAAGCTGGAAAATCAAGTGTTTTAGGCAACAGTGGCGGAATATGTGCACGAAAAGCTGCAGGGACTGAACAGAGTTTACCTGCATGAGTCTGGTCTTATCATCTTCCTGTGGGTTATCTTTAAGAGCTGACAGAGATCTTACAAAAACGCTGATTTCAGATCAGCAGATCAGTGCTCATACACAAACAAGGTTTATTTAGGATCACTCATATTCAAAGGAATTTTAAAGGACAAAGATGTTATTTTCATTGATTTTATTTGTGTTCATTATTGCAATCACACCCTAGTATATTTGTCATCTCTGAGACACAGTGATGTTGGGTGATGTTGCATTGATTTACTCTCCTCTTTTAAATTAAATTATCAGATGAACAACTTTTTATGTTAGGTCTCTAAAGTGTTCAAAGTCATTTAAAGTATGAAACATTAAGATAACTGACTCCTCGGCTTTGTTTGCAGACATTAAGTGTGTGAGCAAGTTGTTTGTGCAAACAGAAAGATGAATCTGCAAAGGTGTGTGTATGTGTGATGGTGGCTCAGCTGTTATGGGTGAGTAAATGCTGCAGGTGTCACTTATCAGAGTGTTATCTGTTATACTGTCTTGAAGGAAACAAAGAGCTGAATGTGAACCACCAGCACAGCCACAGTGACATCAACCCAGACGGCACACATGACCAGTGAGTTCATATATACACACACTCTTAACACACAGACATGTATGTATACATACAGCTTCAGTGTGCGCATGGACAGCCGAGTTCATCAGTGTTTGTCTTTTTATCAGAGCGAGACATGAAGCACTTCAGAAGTTGGCCACATTTTTCCACTCTCCTAAACCTGTGGAGCCAGCTGCCAGGTAGGCATGCAGTACTAACCTGCTGTGCGCGCACACACACACACACATATGAACTGTGTTTAATCTTTGCTTTTTCTTTGTGATTGCAGCAGCACTGCACCAGAGACCGGTGAGTGAAAACTAAAGATCTCATTATTTTACGATTTTTTGAACAAATATTGATGGGTTTTGTTGGTGATGAGATACTTAATCAGATGAGTTAATAATCACTCAGATCAGTCCGTCTCAAACATGAAGCACCCGATACATCTTCAAACACATTAGATAGACGTATTTCTGATCGATCTTTCCCCTCTGTTTGTGTCTCAGGTCCTGACCTGGTGAAACAGGAAGCAGCTCCTCTGTAAGTTGACCCACAGACACACACACAGAAGAATCTTAGACATGTGGTTTAACCTGCAGATGGACACTTTCCTCCTGTCAGCCTGGGATGAGTCAGTTCAGAGACGGCAGAGAGCTCTGATTGTTTTTGTGACTCAGAGTAGGAATGAAGCTGCAGAGCGAGCTCTCAGTTTCCCTGTTCTGGGTTTTTTGGTCTTAGTTTCATGGTTAACTTCAGCTCTCTCTCTCTGTAATCTGGTACTGCAGCGCACCCTGCAGCCTGATCTTTAGATAGCAGATTCATGGTGTTGATGTGTTTGCTTGTTTTTGTAGACCCGAAGCTGATTCTGACCAGACACAAGAGCCGGGCTTTGACCCCACGTTCATTTTACCTCCCCCTGAGCTCTACGCTGACCTGACTGTGGAATAATGGACACACAGGTGAGACACACTCACCTGAACTTTAGGTGCTCTTCATAAATGTGTGTTTCTTTGTATTCCAAATCCTCCTCTGGAGGAGCTCTAGAGGTTTCTAGAAAACTGTCTCTCAATTTTAGATTACAGATATTCAACGCTCTGCAAAGATGGTAAATGTAAAGACAGAGTCTCGCTCTGTTCCTGCTCTTGGCTGTCTTCCTTCCCCTCACCCTCATTCCTCCTCTTCCTCCTCTCAGTTTGTCTCCATCTTTTTCTGATATCACCTTAAGCTCCCCTCTTATACCGGTTTATACTGGTTTCATCATCAGTAACAAGTGTTTAGAGTTGCTGTGTGTAACTGTGTCACCTGTGCTGTTATTGTGTTTATATCCTGATACCCATGGTTACCAGTGTGCATCACAAGTTCACCAGAGTGTAAAATGTACCTGAGTGAGTGAGAATGTGGGAGGTGGCAGAGGAGGATGGAGAGGACTAAGGTTGAAAACAGAGAGTAATTTACTGTCATGAACTTTGATGCTATCATTTTGATTTTGCTGGAAAAATAGAAGTTTTGTGAAAGTAGTTTTTGTCCACGATTTAGATAAAAAGGTAGAAGGTTTAGAGAAATGCGTTTGTAAACCAGCTAAAGTTTGCATGATTAAAAATGTGATCATCACACACAGACATGTGTTTCTCTTTCTGCAGGCGAGCAGAGGACACCGGCCGTCTGTGGAGTTCTTCTTCTTACAAAAACTGTGACAGTACCTTCACCTTCTTGACCTTTGACCTTTCTCACCCACTGACTGCAGTAATGGATCAGTAGGAGGAGGATAACGGGAATATCTGGCTGTAAAGGATTTTCTTTTTCTGCAGCTCTTAGAGAGAAACCGCTCAGGAACAGTTGACCTGGTGATTCTGAGAGACTTTGATACCTGATCAACTGCTGATCTCTGCAGAGGACTTATGATTTATTTCAGACGCAAGAGCCTCTGAGACCCTGAAGATAAAACACACACTGACTGTCAACACCAGGAGGTCAGATCTGCTCAGAGGGATGGAAACAGAAAAATGATGGTTTCTTTATCCTGAGTGAACAGAGCAGACAAAGACACATGGAGAGTTTATAAATGATCAGGTTTCATACCTGTCCCCTGTTATTACTACTTTAGTAAACACTCAAAATCAGGAAAACAACTCAGTTCAAAGACAAATAAAGAGTGAAAATCTTACGTATCTCAGTCTGCAGTCTGAAGGGTTAAAGTCATTGTACAGATCTGTTACCAGTTTACAGTGTTGGTAGCAGAAATAAACAGTTAATCTAATAGAGTATAGAGAGTATAGAGACTACATAGAGTTTTTTGAACTATCAGCAGTTAAATAAAACCCCTCTGTGAACCTCATGAGATGGGATCTGTTATCAATAATCAGTCCCCTCTGCATTTGTGAAACCCCACCTTTAACCTTTCACTAATATATCATCACAATCATTAGTCCATTTATTGTGTTATTGTCTGTTTTTGTACACATACTTTTTCTACTTTTGTGTTTGCTCATTTATTTTGTTGGAAATCATGATGGGAGTTGATGCTATGTAGAAATCTCCTGATGTGAAAGTGTTGAAATGCTGATTTGGTGTATTTTACACCTGAGCTCTGTTTTTAGATACTTCAGGGTTTAAGTGGCCTGATATAAAATGGGATAACTGAATCAAACTGCTCTGAAACTAGCTGCAGACCAAACCTCATTTTGAGTGCAGGTGAGTCCACTAAAGTTCCTATTTTTGATGGAAACAGTTTCTTTCACAGGACATTTCCTGGTTTAAGAGTGTTACTTCAAAGAAGGACAAACTATGACCTGCAGTTATGAATGACTTTATTTTGGCTTCATGTTTTCATATATTCAGTTTTGTGGACCAAAACCTTTTCTCTGGATCTTACCTAAACAGGTAAAGTCCCAATCCTCATCAGATCCATGCAGACTGTAGGCTCATATTTTCCTCAGTCCACAACCCTGAATTTTGAATAAATAAAGTTCTTGTATTGTATTATTGCATTGTATCAAATGACAGAGTTTACTGTGTGGAGAACTCACCATTTGATGAAGCGCTGACAGAGACATGCATCATCAAAGTCACATGACCTTTAAATAACCGTAGAAAAACAATAAAAACTCCTCAAATGCAGGACCTACAGGTCCACATTCACCGTCAACATTGAGGCCCTATTATTCACCCAGCAGGGGCGCGTCCAGAGGGGTGGCATAGCCCCCCCCCAGCAACCTAAATGGTCACCGCCAAATTTTTAATGATGATTGGCTTTTTTCTTCATCAGAGGCGGGGCTAATGTTCAGTGTTTGGTGCTCCACTACCAACACTAAAGTGTACATAAAATCTGACTTTAAACTAACATCTTTTGTGGCCCACAAGAATAAAGCTCAGGAAATTAACATCAGTGGGATACCTACATGTTAAATATTATAACTGTTTGGTAAAAACCTCTACTTACCTGTGAGGTTCAACCATAAGCTTTTTTCATTTCTAAAATTTTAAAAGGATTACTGACAGGCATAAAGGGACACATTAAAAAATACATATAAAACACTAATATATATAGATACAAGGTTTTGTTCAACAGCACCATTCTGAAAGCCATCTCTGTATAAGTCAGTGCCCTAACTAGGCCACCCCAGTCAAAGTCTGGACACGCCCGTGACCTCCTGTACAGAGTATGTCATTATGATTTTCTGCCTGATGCACTCGCCCATGCTGTGTGAAAACTGAGTGAACTTACACCCACATTAGCACCAATGGGTGTGTTGGTCTGAAAACCAGGTGTGGTCAGGCATGAAAGTGGTGTGTTGCTATCTGGGGAAAGCATGAAGTGTCTGCACTTCAGACTGAAAGAAACCCGGGCCACCGTCTGAACTCAGTGATGCAGGGCTTCCCTGATTTTAGAGAGTGTGTCCTGAGTTTTAAACACTGAACTGAGCCAAAAATAAGACGGATAAGAGCCCACCTCTCACTTTTTAAGAGCTAATTCTGGGAAAATACTTATCTGTCGGATCAAAGAGTTTATGAACAGAAAGCTGTCACTCTCACAGAGAGAGAGAGAGAGAGAGAGAGAGAGAGAGAGAGAGAGAGGATTTTACGGTCAGTACATCATTCTGTTTAGACCTGATATTACATTGTAATATTAAGCCATACGTACTAAAGCCTGAATAAAAGATAATCCAGCTTCGTCCAGATCCTCGTCAGTTCAGTAATTATGGAGTTATGCTGCTGTGCTTTGAACAATAACGCACATGTCTGTTCATTTGGAAAGTCTCTGATTTTTTCTGCTGTTCACTTTGATAACTTCAGCAGATATGAGATCAATTATTACAATGTGAATCACACAGTGACTGGTGAGAGTTTTCTGTTTTCAGAGGCACAGCACTGGGGCAGAGGTTGAATGTGTAGCAGGAGCAGCTGGTTTAAAGAAATGAGGGCAGACACACTGAGTTGTTTGATTTATTTAAGACCCAAAACTCCTCTTTGAGTAATCAAGACTTTTTTTAACATCTTTGCATCATGCATCTTACTTTGGGCTTAAATTGCACCGTTTAACCTGCACCATCCTGCAGACTTGGCCATTAGCTTGTATGACTTAAGTATTTAAATGGTTAAATTGGACAAAAAGAGCACAGATATCATATCAGCTGACTAATCAAAACATAAACAACCTCCTTTATCCTGTGAGTTAAGATCCAGTTTTTCTCAGTGTGGTCTGGTGTTTTTGTAGAGGCTGATGTATCAGCTAACTGTATCTCTCTGTCTTTAGGCATCCGGTCTGTAATGCTATTAGACTCTGAGAACAACAACCGGAGCCTGTCAGGGATAAAAACTACAACTTTTAGTGGACATAGTACTTTGAGTGTCATTGCAGCCAAAATAAAGTGTTAACCTGCTGTAAGATCAGCTCATCCACTGCAGCATTTTCAGAAATCTTTGTTCCTATTGGTCATTAAGGCCTAGAAAATGCAAAAACAGAGCTTATTTGGACTTCTCTTTGGCATATTAGAAAATTACAATTAGTCTTAAATGCAGACTGATGTCAGAGTTTGGCCTTCTGCAGGAGCATCAAGCAGACTCTTTACTTAAATCACTGCATGTCTCTAAGGTGTCACTTCCTTGTTAGGATTTCCATGAATTATGAGTATTACAGTTTAATGATTGCAGGAGGTTCATACGATGAAAACGCAGTTATTGTCTTTTTGCTTGGAGATGAACACAGATATGATCCTCTGTGACCTGCTGTGAATGTGTCAAACTGACAGAAACAGAGACGTTCTTCTTTTATATGTCTGTTTATTGTATTTCAATAAATACTCATTAAAGTGCAAATCAATAACAGCAACATCATGCAGTGCATAACAGGAGAGTCCACCCCCCACCCCACCCCTCACACACACAGACAGCTCACAGACACACACGCACTGACACACACACTCACTGGGGTGTTTAATAAGGTTACACTGATAAAAGGAAACCCCTCCCACACAGAGAAACAGAGAGCTCTGATTGGCTGCGGAAACACACACTTTGGTACGACATGTACAGTTCAGGCTCTCCGGCTACACACACACACACACACACGCGCACCCATACACACAGAGTTCACACACTAACATGCCACTGGTAGTTGCATACAGTTGTAATGTTACAGTACAACACCTGACAGTAAATACTGGAGAGAACAGGAGTTTGACACACCCTTAACCTTTGACCTCTGAAGGTCTCAGTGTGGATCATTACCACAGAGTGAGTCTGCAGCAGCACAATGATGCAAAATATTCCTGCTGGGACCCATGATGGACCCAGCTCAAGGCTCAGAGGTCAGAGATTGGGGTCAGGGAACAGGGGGCAAGAGGTTTAAGACACAGAAACAGAGTCCTATGCTACACAGAAAAGTGTGTGTGCAGTGGCATGTGTGTTCCAGCAGGTGGCAGAGTTTGTCCCTATGTGTAGAGTCAGGTCAGTGGAGTGTGTGCTGTCTCTCTCTCTCTCTCTCTCACATACACATACATAACACAGAGACAAAGATGATCTGTGGTAATAAAGGGATTGAGAAGAGTCTGTTAGGAGCAGCAGCCTTCACTCTGATCACAGCAATAAGGCAGAAATGACTGAACTGAAACCACCCTCAGGTCAGCAGGTGAATGCAGGTCCAATACAGAGCTCAGGTAACACAGAAGCTGGGTCAGACAGGTGTGCTTCGACTCTGAACACAACCCAAACATCTCCATAACAATATTTGATCTCTCTATTTTTAATGTAGTCCTTTTAAACGGGAGAATCTGGACGGTCTGTTTAGTTTTTCTCGAAAGGATTCGTCTGCACCTTCTCATAAAGAAATGCTTCATCTTTACAGGGGCATGACCAGACTTTTTAGACTGGGGGGCTCTGACCTGTGCAGGGGGGCCAAGAAAAAATACTATCAGAGTATGACAGTTCTGACTTTTTTTTTGTTTTGTTTATCTAAAAAGTAAGCTGTGTGCTCCCCACCAACCAGCACACCAGAGAAAAACATCATATATTTGAGGAAGACACTAAACTATAGGTTATATTCCCCTTGATAATTAGCCCCACTGACTATATAATAACTTCATCTTCTCTGCTGACATTAGCTGTACACTCTTTTAACAAATCCTCAAAATATTGCTTGATGAATCTTTAGGCTCATTTATGTTCTACACTAGATATGCATACAGGCACAAATGAATTATGATGGCCTTTATTGTACTGTGAGGCAGTGTTGGGCAGTGAAGCTAGAAGTGGACAGTGTAGAACATAACACCCAATGTAGGGAAGTTAATGTACCTTAATAAAGCTTCTTTTCTTTTTTTTTTTCTTTTTTTATTGGGAGGGTCCAGAGGCCAACATGAATAAAAGTGAATATGATGAAAGTACTGTTTCTCATAAATATTGTTCATGCAGAGCTTTCCATATTCAGCCCCCATCTGAAGCAGAGTTCAGAGCGTCCCTCCAGCTTCTATTTCTCTGAGCTCAGCAGAAAGGCAGCATTTCATTAAAACTCTGCTTTAAGCAGAGAAAACCAGCCTGACAGCAGCTTCACTTTACATTCACTCTGAGTGATACCATTACCAAGAGCCAATCACAGCCCAGCTTCAGTCTGACCTATCAGGACACTAATAAACACAGAGGAGAAGCAGGAACAGGTGCGGCCAGTCACGCAGACTGTGACTCTGCAATAAACTGCATTAAAGGAGTATTAAAGTGCAGAGTGAACACAGACACAGAGCATCAGTCTGAAGCATTAGCACTAAACTACGACAGATCCTGCAGGAACTGAACTCACATAGATCCTGCAGACAGAAACATGAAAACCACGTGGTTTACTCTGAGAAGACTCACACTCTGCACAAACATCTACACAGACCCACTGATTCAGTCTTTAAGGCAACGAGAGGAAGGTTTCTGTGGCTTTTTCCCTCCTGCAGCAGATACACACCATCTCACCATGAATGTATGATTATTGTCATTATTCAGTCACCTGAAGCGTATTCAATGATTCATCAGTTTACTGTTTCGTTTGTTGCTTCATAATCAGTCATTTTCTTTACCTACGGAGGAAGGTTTCTCTGGTTTTAAGTAAAAGTAATCGATCAATTGACAGTGTATTTTATCAGGAAAACTTACAGTTTCCTGAAGTTTTTCTTTCCTCTTATTATGTTAAAAAATGCAGATATTAATGCTAATACAGGGACTTTTACACTGTTCATATGAAGCGCTAATTTATTTATTTTTTGTCACTTTTTAAAGGCTCAGTGCGCTAAAAAAAATGCATCTATGGCAAACTGTCCCGTAAATTCACAGCTGAGCAGCAGGTTAGAAATTGCTAAACTTATTGTATGTTATGGATTGTGTGCGTGTGTTAGTGTGTGTGTTTATGCTGCTTATTTTTGGAACTTAATGAGATGGCGTGTATCTGTGCTTCATCATAAACGTAGGACACACTGGTCCTGCTGACTCATAATTCTTCTATAAAAATGAAAATAACCCTTTGTCAGTGCGGTGCATAAATAATAACTACAGTGTCTAAAAAAATAAATATGGATCTGATTTCTACCTAACAACAATAATAATCATCATCATCATCATCTTTGTGGTGTATAAAGTCAGTTTTTTGGTATATCTCTGTCAATCTCTTCAGCTACGTCATTGATTGTAATAGAAATATAATATACATGGATAACAAAAGCTCTTTCTTTACCAACTATAGAGAATATAAAACCTGAAAGCAAACTGACATGTAGACAGTCCCGCAGATAAAGACGGACCTCTAATCAGTGACAGAGCAAACCCAGGAGGATTAAAGGAGCAGTGTGTAAGTTTCAGTGAAATCTAGTGGTCAGTTTGAGGATTGCAACAAGAACAGGGAGATGCAAACTAAATTAAAAAGGACTTATTTTACAGCCTGCACCATACTCTGAGTTTTAAATCAGTTATATAAACATCATATAGCTGATAGGAGAAATAGGAAAGAGGAAATGAGGTCAAATAGGTGGCAGCTCAGCTCACATGTTTCCTCTCCTCATGTTTTGTAATCAAGAGAAGAAAACACTGATTTTCAACAAGTAGCTTCTTTACAGGTTTTTCCAGTTTTCACTTAAAAAGTCAGATTGTTTTGGACATGGGGAAACCCTCTGTAGATGATTTAATTCTAAGTAAAAAGTGACCAACAAAGGAACCCTAGCCTGAAAGCAAACTGAGTCACTTCAGTCAGGCTTGGCTCACAGCCCCTCTAAATGTATATAATCCATCAGAGAGCAGGACACACTGATTTTAGGATGTAAGGTCATATTTTAGTGGTTTTAGTCATAATTTCTGTTTGTCTACCAGAGGAGAAATCCCCTTTAGATAACTCCAACCTGAGGAAGGGTAAACTTCAAAACTAAGCTGATGCATACATTGTACCATCCTCCTTAGAGGTTTTAATAGTTTGTATTATAATTTCTGGAAAATTACAGTGGAATCTCAGCACTTATCTGTTAGTGGATACCATCATACTTGCAAAATAGATCATCCTCCATTATACTTGGTAACTGTACATCAAAACACTTCAGCATACACTGTAGGGTGCCACAGGTTTCAGTACTTGGTCCACTTTTATTTAATGATTGATACACTGATTTTTAACTATTAACTTCCTGATTTAGAGATGTCATCGGTTTGATCATAGTCTCTGTTTGTTTGAGAGAACATAAAACCTCTGAAGGTGATTCAGCTGAGGTAAAAACCTCTTGAACAATAAACTTTAGGAAACCGCATTAGAGAATTTGGCACGGATCAAAACCTATTAAGCAGTCATCTTGACACACAACCCAAAACCAGACTGGTTACAGCTCAGCTCCTAGCTCCTCTTGATTAACTATCGCTTAAAGACTGTCGCTGAACACGGAAATATTACTACTGGTTTCAGCCATTATTCCTGTTTATTTTCAAGAGATTAAGATCTCTGTGTTAAACTTGGCATTAGATAAGGACCTTTCAGACACAAAAAAAAGCTAAGCATCTCAAGCCAGACGAGCAGCAGCTCGGCTCCTCGTCTCTCCTGTTCTCAGGTTTGTTTATGTTGGAGAAGAGGAGAAGAGGAGACCCCCTGGAGTTATTCTAGTTAAAGGTACGAACTCGGTGAACAAAGACCCCCAACAGGGAACTTGGGGAGGAGTTTTGTAGCATTTAGGGGTGCAGTGCTGTTGCTTCTGTCTTGCTCTCTGTGCAAAAACTGGACTGAGAAAAACCCAGATGATGGAGGGTTTCCTCTGTCTTCTTTTAGGAGAGACTAGAGCTCATACAAGAGATCTTTTTATTCATTTATGCAAAGTCATGATCCACCAGAGCTACCTGCAGCCAGCTGATTGCCGCTCCCTTCACTTTCTCTTTCCAAACTCATACTGAGAAACTCACAACAGGCCTCCTCATATTTGGTGATATCTGAGTCTTATTTGGTTGGTCTGTTTTGGTTGCACCTCTTCTTCTTCTTCGTCAGAGATTACGTGTTAATAATATTGGATCTGTTAGCTACGTGTGTTCTGCTGAGGGTTACACACTGCACCTTTAAGAGTGCTGTTTGGTGATATTTTAGGTACCCGTGGGAGGTGAGACAGTGAACTTGACCTTTGGGAACCCCCTTCTGAGGGTGAACTTTGACCTCTACCTTCTCGCTTTTCAGGTTCACATGTTCCAGGACCAGGATCAGTTTTGACTCTGAAGCCTGATGTTAGAACTGAGGGACTGTGTTAATGAGAAAAAGAAGCTGTTGATCTGCCTCTGAGAGAAAGGCTTCCTCTCTCTGTCTCCTTTAATCCGAAGAGACAGACGAGTCCTCCTCGTCTCTGCTCGTCCTTCCCCTTCAATGAGACTAAACGGAGATAAAAGGACCACAGAGAGAGGAAGTCTTTTCAGACCTCTACCCTCCCTACATCCCAGATCAGCGTGTGGTTTAAAAACCTCTCAGACGTCAAGGTAGCACCGAAGTCAGGAGTGTGTCAGCGGGCCAACGTGGTGATGAGGCTGGCACACATCTCAAAGAAGTCCATGGTGTGTGATCCCTGTCTGGGGGTGAGCTGAGGGGAGCTCCCGCACAGAGAACCAGGCAGGGAGGAGCTGAGCTGGGGCAGGTCCATCGCCAGGCTGGCTGAGTCGATGCTCAGTCTGGGTCTGTGGAGGCCAGCCGTGGAGCCTGACCGCTGAGGAGTGGACGAGCCCGATTTAAAGCCGACCGCCTCCATGATGTCATCTGCGGGTCACATGAGCAAAGCAGCAGCCATCACGGTTAATATAATAACATGAATTCAATTTTTGTCTTTTACATGAGTGATTGACAATATTATGTCCCCACCCAAATTTGTTTGTTATGTTTACTCAGTTCAATCAAACACATTCTGCATCTGTTAGCAGCGTCACTGACCGTCAATGCTCTTGAAGTCGAGGAGGTAGGATCTGTTGTCCACCTGGTACAGCTGTAGGCTCATTTTCACCAGGTTCCCCGTCACTGGATTCTTCCTCCGCACCCTCAGATGGTATGGGTTTACCACCTAGCACACAAAATCAAACAATATTATATGAGAATTTTCCTCCTCTGTATGGTTTCAATTACTTTCTTAACGTGTTTTGTGAAACCCTAGACACGACATCGCCCCCTGAAACAATCACTGGGTCTTCCTAGAGAATGGTGTTTGTTACATCATTGTCATAATTTAATTTTGAAGTGTAGGAAAAAAGCAAACCCTATTAGAAGATAATAAAATGTAAAAATAAAGATATAAATATAGAGAAGTGAGGGGAGAATGAAAGAACAGAAACGTGAGCTGAAGTTTTAGTGTCATTACTTCAAAATTTTACATACAGCAAAAATAAGACCTGATAGAAAAGCTTCACGCTGATCCATCAGCAGCATTTTTTCAGCTTGTTTAAGAGTGACATTACCTTCCAGTCGAAGCCCAGCTGTCTCATGGCTCTGTAGACCTCAGCCATGATGTCATAGGGTCTGCTCTGACTCCTGATGCCCAGGTGCCACTTAGCCTTCTTCACTGCCAGCGGTTTAGGCCGGGTGGTGTTCAGAGCATCCAGGGGACAGCGGGACTTAGGGCTGTCAGCAAGGAGTGGGGGCATCCTCTCTGGGTGGGGTTTGACCCCGGGAGGCAGCTGCATACCCTCCTCGATGAAGGAGCCCTGAGGAGGGCTGGAGGCCAGGTAGAACTCGCTGGCCTGCGTCATAATGCGCCGGTTGTCGATGATGAGGTGATAAGCGACCGCGAGCTGATCCTGCAAGGGCAGAGGGAGGATAAAGAGGTACTGAGCAAAGCAGAGCGCTGCAGATTAATGAATCATACAGCTCTGATGGATGTCTGCAGGAAACAGAGCAGACAAGACAGCAGCACCTCAAGCCTTATCAACACAACAATCACGTTTTCACCAAAAGAACCAGCAACTCTCAGGAAATTTCCCTCTTCAGGGAGTTCCTCCAGTCTTTGTCTGCATCCATCCTCAGAGGTGAACTCTGGCTACAGCTCAGGGCCCTTAAGTTTGATCCTTGCATCCCTCACTTGCAACATTCCCTTTCATCCTAGTCCCTTCCACCAAATATAATGGAGAAACATGGACAACGAAGAGAGGAGAGAGGGGACAAGCAAAGAGACGAGACGTCCTTTCCTCTTGATCGATATGTGAAATGACTCTTTAAAAATGAAGGTATCAGCTAATTACCTCTGGATCAGCTGTAACAGATGTTTGTTTGCTCACACAGTGCTGCACTATGATAATAACCCTGATAAATACAGCAGCAACAGTTTTTTACTGTATTTTACCTGTTCAACAAACACCTGCACATAAAAAACAACCTGCAGTCAGTTTATTCTGAGTCCTACTGAGAGCCAGAATGATTATTTTACTGTAAAATTTGTCATAACTGGATTATTTATGAATATTCATATTTATGTAGCCCCTTACTCAGTGCTTATCTTATTGTGAACTTTGATTCTCATTAACACAACCCTCTAATATAATGTCTCAGAAACACTAAATTTTTTCACAGTTTCCCTGAAAATAGAAAGTCATGTAACACTTCCAAACCCATGCTCATTGCTGATCAGCCTTTTTCCACATATAAAACCTTAGACATGACTGTAAATATATAGAGTTAATTCCTGTAACAGACTTCCACACCCAAAGATGGAGCTGAATTTTCTTTACAACAACATTAGACAGGAGAAATAACTGATCATGCAAAGAAAATAACTTTTTTTTAATCTAAAATACAGCTTATAAATTGATGTATGTTTCTGACCTATATCTGGACTTCTCCTACTGTTTGAAGGTCCCTCTTCTCTGGTATTAAACTCCACTGGTGTTGTCATGATTTAGTAAAGTCTGAGCAGCTGCCGCAGCCAATCAGTGGGTGGCATTTGCTTTGAGGGCATGTCTGTCAGTGAAATGATTTCTGTGAAGGCTGCTGTCATGTATCCTTAGTTATCACTCCATCATCCTCCCTCTCCCCTTGATCCTCTCCCCTCTGAGAGTAACATGTAATTCCAAAAATACTATATTATATCTATAACCCTAACCCTGAACATTCACAGGTGTATTCCTGTAGAAAATCTCAGGTGTGCCTACCTGTGGATCTCCGCTGTAGAGGCTGGCCACCACCTCAGACTCGGTGCACTCAAACTTCTCACACACTTCTCTGATGGCCTCTTCATCCAGAACTGTGGCATCATACGAGGGGTCCTCAGGGAACAGGTAACCGGGCAGGTCCTGCTTGAACCACTCATGCTCCCTGACAGAGGACAGAGGACAGAGGAATCAGTCAGTGCAGACTGAAGGCAGGTAAAACTCTGCAGGTGATCCAGGAAGTGCTGGATCACACAGTGAGAGTCAGAGGGAAAAACCAAGAGAAGAAGAGATTTATATAAAACCATTAAACTGAAAGTGGTTTTCTGACCCGTCAGAGTCAGGTCAGCACCTGATGTCTTTGATGGTGGCTCTCTTCAGAGGGTCCACCTGCAGCATGAGCATGAGCAGCGAGGCCACGGAGCGGGTCAGGTACTCAGGGATGTAGAAGACTCCGCCTCTGATCTTCTTAAATAGCGTGGGGACATGTTCGTCATCGAAGGGCAAAGTGCCGCACAGCAAAGCGTACAGGATTACCCCACAGCTCCAGATGTCCACCTCTGGACCTGCATAGAGTCTGATCACAGAGGACAACATGTCAGCTGTCGTTACCAAAGGCATCAACTCGAAGCACGCCACTCCCAGAGGTTCACTGGAGAAACAGAGAGCACTCCTACAACCTTTAAAGCACTAGTGACATGTTTTAGTTCATGATGATAAATAATGTTCTGTATTTTAAACGGTATGGTTTAGGATATACTGTTGTTTCATACTTGATGTTAGTCAGATAAATCAATGTGACTCCATTGTAAGTGACTGAAAAATCAGCAGTTTCCACACTCAGATAAATATATGTTATTACCACCAGAGGGCAGTATCGAAAAGGAAGGCAGTCTGATAATGTTCAGGGAGACGTGCAGCTGTCAAGCATTCAGGTTTTTACAACCTCCACTCCCACTGAGAGAGAGAAGAGAAATACCTCTGCCTCATCATGTCCTAAATTTATGACAACAGTGAGTCTGCTTCTGAAAGAATACCTCCACACTAGGGCTGGGCGATACGGCCTCAAATCAATATCACAATATATCAAGCAGTTCACCTCGATAACGATAAATGGACGATAACTACTACACAACCTGCTCACCCCCTTCCACATTAACTTTGTCGACTTGTATTGCCACTCCAGCTGCTACAACTTTTGAACCGTCCTCCATCTCCTCACCTGTCTTTCCCTCTTTGTTATGGACTGGATGGGGTGGAGTCACGTCTCTGAATTAGGACAGCATCTTAAAGAGACATGAGACCATAGCCTGCCTACACACATCCAAAACCAACTTTTATTTATTTATTTTTTTGACATCGAATATATCGATATGGGCAAAATGACGTCTGTTTTTGTCGTAAATTTTAATAACGCAACAGCTCTTGTAAGGAACAAAACACTTCTAGATAAATACAAAAAAAAATGTCATTGGGTAGACACTCATTTCACTGCGCTCTCAGCTGCATTTTCATCTTTAGTGATTCAGAGTTGATCAAGACTATAAATCACTGAACACATATACTCTCTCTTTTAAGATGCACAGATGGGATAATATCAGATTTTAAAAATCCAGCGGTCCCTCTAAAACATTCCTGTTTCTTTATTGTTTCATTAATGGAAAACAAAACATATTTTCCTCTGAGTTTTTATGATCTGTGACTTTTTTTTTTACTTGTTGCCTTTTTGTCCTTGCTGTGGAAAATGGGCATTGATGAACACATATCCTCCTTATTTCTAAGATTTCTTGACTTGACTTGACTTTGTGTTAATGATATTTACACTGCAACCTTTGTAGCTATTCTGCTTCTGATTTACGACAACTGAAGGATTTCAGCGCCCAGCTGAGTTTAGAGAGCAACACTGAACAGAGATGTGATATTGTTCTGGTGTTGGTTCAGGTGTTTGATCCTGTGCTCAAGATTAAAGCTGATTAAATATTCGTCTTAGGAATGTGGATAACTCTGATGATCATCGCGTTCTCGCTAAAACATGTGACAGCAGAAACACACACACACACCTTCCTGAGATGACCTCTGGAGCGGCATAGTTTGGTGAACCACAGCTGGTCCGCAGAAACTCGCCATCTGACATCATGTTCGACAGACCTGTCAGTCAGAACACAGGTAAGGTTAACAACAGTCAGTCTGAGATGCTCCTGCTGTGTTACTGATGCTGTAGGTTAACCTGCACACACAGCTCTGATACCTTTATCCTCCTTTCCCCTCTCGCTCTCTAATCTCTGAATCCAAAGCTCGTCTAATTGGATTAGCTGCTCGCCCTGACGCTGACGCTCTGTGATATGCTGACCTTCTCTTTATCTTCTACTCCTGCTCCTTTAACGTCGCCTCTCTCTGCTGCTCTCAGCCAAAACACCTCTCCTGCCGCTGCACCCCCACTGTCCTCCTATCAGATGACACCGAGCCTCAAGGCCTCCTGCCAGACCTGATATGAGCCTCTCTCTGTCTGCTCTCATCCCGCTGAGCTCAGGGCCGCTGTGAGCCTCTCTAAACATTTCTCTGTTTCATGCAGCTATTGCATCAGATACACAGCCTTTAAAATGTGCCAGCACAGATTTAAACTGCACTCTTTGAAGAATTCCTTGTATTTTTGTGAAGGCGTTAACAGGTGGGGATTTAAATCGATCATAACTCTGTGATTTACTCTACAAAGAGCATCAGTTCTGTCTAATCTGAGACATTTCTCTTTGCTCTGCCTCCCTGAACATACTCTCTAATGTCTTGTCTTTATGACCTCCTCCTGTCCTCCTCCTGAATAAAACTATTTCATTCCAGATCCTACCGAAGTCTGCAATCTTGGCGTTCTTGCTGGCATCAAGCAGGACATTCTCAGGTTTGAGGTCCCTGTGGACCACCATGTGGCGGTGGCAGTAGTCCACAGCTGAGATGATCTGCTGGAAGAGACGGCGAGCTTCTGTGTCCTCCACCTGAAGACACAGTATGAGAGGCTGTGACTGGACAGTGTGTGGTGAGTGTGTCTCTGGTGTAAATGTCGGAATGTCACAGGCTGATGGTTCACACTGATCCTGAGGGTGGTGTGTTGTCTGGTTGTTGTTGTTGTTGATCGGGGGTCATCTAAAGTTCAAGACGGATTATTCTATCGAGAAAAAAAGGGAGTGTAACCTGCACAGCTGTCAGTGTCTCTCACAGCTCTCAGCACTGACACTGTGACAGAAATCACAGAAACTCACCTCTCATGGAAGTTTACAGCTGGAGTTCAGAGGTTCAATGTCAATACTGAAGTGACTAACTTATGAAAGTGATCACACACCCTGAAACCATTCAATCTGCTGATGATTATTATTCAATACAACTGCATTTTTATATTTATCAATTTATTTTAATCTATTTAATCTCACTGAGATTTAAAATCTTTTTGTACTGAACCACAGGGTTCCTAGGTAAACAGTTGCCATAAAGTGAAGGCAAAGAGATCATGCATGTAGATTTAAAACATCACAATTGTCAATCAGGGACATAAAAGTAACAGAAACAAGTCTTTTCTTTGCAGCAAAATAAAACTATGACGTATTGCTGGAATAGTAGCCCAGCTGTAGCATCAACTTTTTGAAACAAGTTACTCAATATGAAGTTTCTAGGTCAGAGAATCATTAATTTAGTATCCCATGGGTTTATTAGAAGACACAGACTCAGCCACGCCACACTGAGATAATAGACAGCAGGTTCAGCAACTTTGTCTTTGAGTTTGTAACACTGTGAGTTTAGTTTGATCAGGATTAAAAATCAATTTATACCCATAAAAAGGTTTGGTGCACCTTGTAGAGAGCGAGGTATTGTTGGAGTACAGCAGAAAATAGCTATCATCCGTACATTTACGTAAGCTTGCATTAGGAACATTGTGGGCAACAGTGTTGGTTTAAAATGTCAATAACAGTTGTCCCAAGACAGAGCCTTGGGGCACACCATTTATCATTTCAAGAGGTCCAGGGGAGATACCTTGAGCCTGCACTTACTGTGATGTTTTGAAACCAACAGACAGACTGCTCTGACTGTCCAATGCTGAGCTGTCCCAGTTTCATAATTACATAGTTCACAGTGTTGAGAGCTATTAACAGTAGAAGTTTCAATAATAATTTTTTCAGTGCACTGTGACAGATTCTGTCGGCTACTCTTTTTTGTAGCTACTGTAATTACTGAATTGGTATGCTAAATACAAACTGAAAAAAAAAATGTTTATAAAACTGTAATCCTAACACAAAGGATTTCATGATTTAATTGAGCTATTTCTCTCATCAGATCTTCTTGTCATCTGACAGAGAAATGCTGTTCAAGTGTTCATGAATACGTTTAGCCAAAACAAAGTGAACTGCGTCAATCTTTTTGGTCTGTCACATCTCTTAACAGTGTGACTGAGTATGACAGGATTTCAACAGGCTCACCGCTAAATAACTGTTGTCTACAACATGCTACATGTTAACTGGTGACTGTGTATCACCCACAGATTTAAGTGTCTGCGATTTTTCTGTGTGGCCGCTTTGTGATTGGCTGTGGACCTGTCCAGGGCGTAACCCCACCTTTCACCTAATGACAGCTGTGATTGGCTCCAGCCCGCTGCGACCCAAAACAGGACTAACATTAAAGGTTATGGATGGATTGATATAAAAAGCTTCTATGTTTCATGTCTGGGTTAAAATGAAACTTTGAACCAACATGAAACATTACAAAAAAGGAACACACCAAAATCCATCATCACTGACCCATTTCCAACTTCCAACAACACTCGAGAAAATTTCACTGATTCTATGCACTGCGAAAGTATTTTTAGTCATTTCCAGCTTGCTTTTGTTACAGCACAGAGGTAGCCCTCATTAGGGTAACTCTGGTCTTCTTAAACAGAAGTGAAGCTGCAACCTTCTTAAACCTGGGTCAGACCTTGAACTCCTCCATTTATACTTATCTCACCAAATCTTTTTGTTGTCTCAGCAAAATCCAGTTCTTACAATTTTGGTTACTTTTGTGGCGTACCTCATGGATCTGTTCCCAGCCCTCTTTTGTTCTCTATTTACTCAGACAAAACCTCTCTTTTTCCTTTCTATCCTTCTCTTTTTCTTGAAATGAGTACAACCTAAATTGCCTATTCAATTACAAACGGAGAATGTAGTGTCATACTCATATACAGCAGCAACACAGCAGAACACTTACATTACTTTTGTTTACTTAGGCTTTTTTATTTTTCTTTCTGTTTGTATTTTTCTTGTAATAATGATTATTTCTTTGCTTTGCTCTAATAAAACCTTAATACAGACATCTGAAATAAATAAAAAAAAAGACAGCAAACGTCCTCTTACCCGTCCATGTTTGCAGATGTAATCAAACAGCTCCCCCCCAGACACATACTCCATAACCATGAAGAAGTCTGTAGGTGTGCTTATCACCTGGTACCTACAAAAAGCAGATTATTCATGTAGTCAGTATACATGATTAAACTCCACATCCTCTTTTCATTGGGTTTAATGTCTGAACTGAATATTTAGCCCGTGATAAACACACAGAGGGAGGCTGAGCGCTGATGTATGGCTGCTGACTGCACACATTATTTCCATAAAGGTCAGCTTTATTATTACACAGACCCAATCTCATGAGTGGCTGCTCCTCCACTTTATCACAATCTGCTTCCCTCTAGTCGAGTCAGCACAGGGGGGGACAAAAACAAACCAAATTTAACATCTTTTTTCTCTTCCATATTATCCATGAACTCTGCACAGAGAGAGGGCCTGGGGGAAGTGGTCAAACATTTGTTCTGATTCATTAAATCTGTGCTGGTTTTAGAAAAGCAGGACTGACAAATCGCACAGTGCAGCTGTGTACAACCCTGCAGACGGCCTCTGCATCGTGTGCCTGAAATGTACTGTATGTGTGAGTGGATGTATATATCTGTGACAGAGTGCTCTGCAGACAGCAGGTCGACCCACAGCTAATACAGATCACAGCTCGCATATCTGCCATAGTTCACAAAGAGGACTGACCCCAACCCTGTTCTAAAAATACACCCAGAAAGGAGAGACAAGGAATGAGACAGAGGACTGACCCCAGCCCTGCTCCAAAAATACACCCAGAAAGGAGAGACAGGGACAGAGATACAGAGAGAGACAGTGAGAAAGACAGGGACATGGACTGACATGATACAGAGGACAAGATGACAGCAAGAACACAACAAGGCCAGAGGAACAGAGACAAGGAGCAGAGACACTCTGTCATTAATTTTAACTGGACATTTGGACAGACCATAACAGACCTCAAGACCTGTGTTTGTATATGTGCCTGTTTGTGTGTGAGTGTCCGTTCCGCCTCCTGGGAACCCTGTGGGCATGCTCAGTGGAGCTCAGCAGATGTAAACAAACAGGAAAAGCAGACCATGCCACACTGAGACAGAGAGAGGGGGAGACCAGTTATCAGACGGAGACAGTTATCTCTAAGTTTTATCAAACATCAGGTCTCATTCATCAACTGCACTTCAGAAGACATATCCTGTTCCAAAAAGGCACATTAACCATTTACGTTTAGTGTTTCAGTTTTCTCCTGGGGTTTGGTCCTGGAAGAGAATAAAATCTATGAACTCGGAAACACTTAAACTCACATCTGAGTACTAACCCATCTGTGCAAGATACTGGATTTTTCTTTTCCTTCATTTTACACCCGCACATTATTTGAGAATACTTCTAAACACATTGTACTTCATATATATATTAAATATATTTATATTAAACTAACATGCACTAGCTTACTCTGTAGACTTCCTCATAAGAGTCACACAATGTTGTTGTGGCATTGTCTGTCTGATTTATGGGGGTTTGGTTGTCCTACCTGAAACCACAGAATGATCACACCCCCTGTCAAGGTAAGAAGGAAAACATACTGGTCTAGATATAAGAAATATTTAACAGATTGCATAGTGGGACCAAACTAACCTCTTTCGATCAGTTACTGCAGATTTTAGGTAACAGATGGAAGTTAACCTGTCACTATCAAATAAACTATATGACTAAATAATCCATTGCTCTACAAAGACATCCTTAAGAGTTAAAACACTGTCACAGAGGTATCATCTTTCCTCTGTCTCACATCATTTTTCCCCTCTGGTTTGAGATCAAACTTCATGTCACTCCATTTTTTCTTTAAACAACTAATATCACTACAAAATACAAGTCCAGAGCCCCATTGCTCCATGATTTCGTTTGCACATTTCTGATGCCTCACTCTCTGTTTGATGATGTGATTTCTGTGAGTGCACAAGGCACCACAGTCTCATGTCCTAAATGGGCACTGGGGGGGTATACTTATGTTAATTGGGAACATTAAGCAAGAGCTTCAAACTTAGAAGGATATGGTATTCATCAATATAAAAACACAGGTGAGAAGAATCTTTGAGTTTAAAACAGGTTCATGGAAAGGCCTGGCTGGATATGTTTTCTGTCTGTACTCACAGCTTGATGATGTGTGGGTGTCTGAACAGTTTGAGATTCTGGATCTCTCGTTTGATTTTCCCAACCACATCGAGGCTGCGAATCTTCTGCCTGTTTAGGATCTTTACTGCAACTTTATGGCCCGTCAGCTGATGCTCACCAACTGGGGAAAGAAGAAAAAAAACAGGAAAACACAAACATGAAGCAGACATAGCAGCATACAGATGGTCAAATAACACATCAAATCTTAATCCTCCCCCTGGCCCGGCTCTTTTTATTTTGTGCCAGAAAGTGTTGATGGTAAACCACACATGCAGGTAAAAACTAAATCAAGCAAAGAGGAAACCAGATAAACACGATCTAGAAACACCAGGGATCTTTCTGGACCTGAGCCCATTTATGATGGACTGAGAAGAGGAAAAAACTGTCTTTTGACATTCTATCTGGAAAACCACAGATGTTGCATCTTCCTCTCTAAAGAGTTGAGGGACCTCCTTGCTTGTTATCAGCTCTCAGTTCAAAGCTAGTGTCCCTGATAGTATAAGGATCATAAATGTCCATGTCATGTGTGGCTTACACATGTGTGAAAGCTCAGTTAATGCTGAACAATATATTCAGGTTTAGGGAGGAAAAAAGATGCCATCCAGACAATGACTTTTTCAAGGTTTTGATGCTCTTGTCCCAAATTTTCTGAAACATGTCTCTGTGTTGCTCTGGCATGTTTGGCATCAGATTTAAAATGAGCATATATTTATTGTTAGGCAATAGTACTCCCAGTTTCAACATTTGATACGTTGTCTTTTACTATTTCCATTTAAATGTAGGTTTTACCTGGTTTGCACAACAGCAGAATCTGGTTGCATAGCTACGATGGCCGAGAACGGCCACCGCTGCAAATAAAAAAAGAGCGCAAAGAAAAGAAGAAAGAAGCCACAACAAAAGTTACCGATGCAAAAAAAAAAAGAAAGAAAAGAAACCGAAGCCCTGAAGCCCGCTGCAAATAAAAAAAGAAATGGTGCAGATAAAATTTTAGAAAAGACGCAACAGAAGTTAAAGACGCAAGAAAAAGTGGCGATGCAAAAATAAATAAATAGATAAAAAATTACTTACTCTGAAAATAAAAGGGTGCAAATAAAAAAAGCCACAATGGACGTGAACTGCTGAGGACCAATAATGATGACGCACCAGTGTTTTATGATCTAGGCACAGGAGAAGACGGCAAGAAGACGGGCAAATAAGTCAGTGGAAAGGCTCTTGTTTAATTTCGCTGCAGTTCAACTTCATATCGACTCAGGCGCTACATGGCCGAACTAAATGACACACTGAAGAGCACACAAAGCAAAATTTAACCATAACCTTTCCTTCTCGTTGTCGTCTTCTATGCCTAGATCGTAAAACACCGGTGCATCATCATTATTGGTCCCCGACAGCACACTTCCTTTTTCGATTTTTATTATTATTCACATCCTTTAATTAATTTATCTATTTATTTATTTTTTGCATCACCACTTTTTTTGTGTCGTTAATTTCTGTTGTGGCTTTTTTAAAATCTGCATCGTTTCTTTTTTTATTTGCAGCAGGCTTCAGTTTCTTTTTTTGTTGCATCAGTAACTTTCGTTGTGACTTCTTTTTTTTTTTTTGCATTCTTTTTTTATTTGCAGCAGTGGCAGTTCTCGGCCACCATACATAGCAGCATCTAAACCTTTTTATGCAGATGGGGATGTACTTTATCAGTTATTTGTTATCTGTGTCTTTCCTGCATACTCACAGCTTAGGATAATTATTACAAAAGATGAAATCACTGCTTACCTCTGGATTAATTTAATATCATAATAATTATTATCAGCAAACCAGATTTACTGCCAACATCAGTTTCAGGCCAAAGCAGTAAAAAAAATGTGAATTTGGAGGTCTATTTTGCATGGATTAACCATTTTGCAGGGCCTTCTAACCTGATTCCCCCTCCTCCTCCTCCATGGTTTTCAGATGCAGCTCTGTCAGCAGGTGGGTTAGCCCCGCCTGAGCTATGCTAACACCCCCCTGACTGCGCACACCACCAACAGGCGGAGTTAAAGCTCACAAGGTCACACTGAGAGTCCGAAGACCAGCCAAGAAAACTGTCCGAAAGCCCAGTGACGGGCTTGTCTGGGTTTACCTTTATCTGTGAAAGATTTTCTCTTCTTAGTAAACGGGCTAAAAGATGCTAGCATTAGGATCACATAGCAACAGCGTTTCTAAACACAGAGACAACATGAAGCTCAGTCAGGCTATAATACGAGCGCTCAGACGTCCTTCACTGCTCAGTCAAACACCATCTTTTACCTCCTCATACATGTCAAACATAGGTGCTTTAATGTGGTTTGACTGTGCATCCTTGGACACTGTCCTCCTGCAGGTAAACACACCTGCCTTAGCTGATAACAGGAGCTACACACGGGGAAGAATGTGACTTTGAAGAAAGGGTATTCTCGCACCAGGTTACGCTGTAAACCCCTCTGTCTTCCCTGTATAGCGCTCACAGATACGCTGTTTACGTTACTGACCGCCGGTAAGTTCAGCTCTGTCAGTCACGGAGCGGTAACACGGTAAACAGAGACTTCTTCAGATTCTGAGGGGGAAAAAACACATTAATGTTCACATTCAGCTCAGCATTGCAGCACGCCGGAACTTAACTCTTCACTTTCCCGAAGGTGCCCACTCCCAGCGTGTCTCCAAGGATGTAGTGTCCGATCTTTACCCGTCCTTCGTGCTTCTGTTGTTGCCGCTCTGCCATCTTCTCCGTTACCGACGGCTTCACGGCTCTCTCCCTCTCTCCCCAGTACTGTCCCTCTCCTCTCTCTCTCTTTTTTTTCCCTCTCTCTCTCTCTGCGGGGGGCTGCAGCGAGAAGTGAGGAGGGGGCGGGGCGAGTCACCTAGAAGAGGAGTACCGTTAACCGTGAATCCACCGGATCAAACGGTGTTTATCTATGACAGACCGACAGACCCCTAACGCTCACTGTCACCGGAAGATTAACCTTTATAGAGCCAGGGTAAGCACTCTGGCTTACTTGGGCACTGACAATTTACTCATTAGCACTGACTAATGAGTAAGCACACCATTTAATTAAATCGCATACTTCCATACTAAATACTTAAAATTATGAGTATACTCAACTCAAAATGGAAAAAAGTATGGATAGTATGCGAAAATTGAGCAAGCCAAAGTACCCGGATGTCATACTCAAATCAGTCAAGATTCTGAGTAAGCGACTGTGGACACTCGCCCACACGCACTTCATCAGTAAGAATGGCTGTGGACGGCTTTGGTACAAGTGGGTCAGAGACAGTCGACCTGGGAGCTTTGTACAGATGTAAGTAATAAATTGTCTTTATATTTTATATTGTGTTATATTTTGTATTAATATTTTATATTTGATATATTATATAAAATATATTTTAAAAAATAGTTTCTTGTAAATAGTTTCTTTCTAGTTTTAAATACTTAATTTGCAAATAGTTTATCTTTAGTTACAGCGTTCCAAATTTTTGATTTGTAAATAGGGTATCTTAAGTTTTCTTGTTCTAATTTTTTTTATTTGTAAATAGTTTGTTATTTTTCTGTTATGCACAATAAATGTTCAGACATGAGGCAAACTGCGTTGTCTTTTCTGGTGAGTGTGCCGCACGGCAGTATGCAATTTGGGACAGCGTATGGTATGCTTAGTATACTCAATTTGAAAAATCTAAGTATTTAGTATGGAAGTATGCAGTTTGGGACACTTTCGCTTTACTGGCATAAGATACTACTACTACTTATACCAATAATAATAATAATAACAATATTAATGATATAAATAAAGAAGGCAATGAAGATAAGAGCCGGCCCAAGCCGTAAGTGAACTAAGCACCTGCTTGGGGTCCCCACGGCCAATAGGGGGGCCCCAAGAGCAATCCAAAAATTAAAAGAGGATGAAATATTTTTTTTCTTTTTCAAATTCAACTTTACTTGTACAGCACTTTTCAGACAAAAAAAAATGCAGTTCAAAGTGCGTCACAGAGGCTAAAAAACAACAATTAACGACAATAAAACCCGACCCTCCTTCCCACACACACCCAACCATGGACCCACACACACACAAAGACACACACACTCATCCTCACTCACCAACACACACTTAAAGACACACACAGTGTGAAAATTTAAGATATATCATTAGAGAGACATGGCTTGACACCCAAGAGTTACCTTTGGGAAACACTGGAAATAAAAATAGAGAATAAAGATTTTAAAAAAGAATTAAAGAAAATAAAGAAAAATAAAATTAAATAAAAATAAAAAAACAACTAAAATGGTAAAAAGAAAGACTAAAACCTGATGGACTAAAACAAGAAAATATTATTAAATGAACAGATAAGTAAGAGCTCTTTACCATGTAAAAGGAGTAAAAGAAGTAAAAACCTCTATGACGGGAATTAAGAAAAAGACTAAGAACAGAGATAATCAATAAAATGACAAATAAACTTTAAGAACTTTGATTAAAACATTTGCAACATTTTACATGTATGAGTGATGCTTTCTGTATGATTAAATATATATTCTTGTAAAAATAAAATAAAGTAAAAACATTTTAGTGCTGCTGCTGATGTAGGCCCATGATTCTTACTGCCGAAATGTCAAAGCTCTGCTACCATTATGTGCCTTCTGCTGTGTAATGTGAGCTGATCATCCAAAGTGCAGGTAGTTGTTGGGCAAAACAATGTCGCAAAAAAGGACATATCCTTCAGGAGCAGAGAAAAGAAAGAGGAAGAAATAGGAAGAAGAGAAAAAACGCCAAGATAAAGGTTATGTTTGCATGTCATGGAATGTTAATCAAAGACATTTGTGAAGGTGTGTGAATGATCAACAATCAATATTATAGTGCAGAAATAGAGGGCCCCCAAATCAAATTTTGCTTAGGGCCCCATTGAGGCTTGGGCTGGCTCTGATTAAGATTGAATATTAGCAATCAAAGCAGTAATACAAAAACTGAGTATGTCAATACAATAAGGCAGTTGTAATAAATATGGAAAATAGAAAAAACGATTGTAAATATAAAAGCACCTTAAACAATGTGAATAAGAATTATTACTTGTAACTTGCTCAAAGTTTAGTTCACTCGGATAAAACTTATAAAAATGAACTCACTTATATATATTATTTTATATAGAACAAAGTTTATTTTCTGTTTAAGGTCTTGGTTGTTGTCTTAAGATAGCCCTCCTTAATTCAGGGTAAGCACCTGATGTCCACCACACCTGTTGTATTTAAAAGCAGAGGAAATCCTGTTTAAGTGTGTTTTACCATCAAAATGGGGAAACTTGCAGCTTAGAAAATTGATTATTTTGGAGAACAGTTTCTGACTTATACATGGGGGAAATCTGCATAACAGACAAGAGATGGATGATTTTTTACATCATCTGAAATATGTTATGGTTATGGGTCAGGAACAGTGGTGAATAATTTGGGACGATACAATTGAGATGATACAATTCAGTTCAATCCCTTGATGGCTTTGATTTTAATCAAAAATTACAGCACTTTCTTAATTAACATGTTTATTTGTATTTATCTTACATACCACATATATGATATATTTAAGAATATTTCTGCATATTTTTATAATCAATTCCTATGTTTTCACTTCTTTTACTCATTATTAAAAAAACTGTTTTGAAATAGTTTCACCATGCATGCTATGCAAGGAATCCATTTCTATAAGAAGCTGCAAGCCCCCCCCCCCCCCCCCCAAAAAAAAAAAAAAAAAAAAAAGAGGCAGACAGGGTCAGATATGAATGCACTGACATAACAGCAAGCAGTATGAACACATGCAGCAGTTAGGGAGAATGAAGTATGCAGCTGTTCACTAATTCCTGTCAGATATGAACAGCTGAATGTCCGACATGAGGGCAGTGTTTAAAGGTTAAGATATATAGACCGTAAATGTGAGGGTATAGAGATATGCAACAGTACAACATGCTTTTTGTGGGTGATAACTCAACATATGGAGCATATGGTGAGGACTGAATATGATAACTCAATGTGCACAAATATGCTCTTATAAGCATTACGTTAACATGATGCAGACTGTGAGTAGCTACCAGAGCCACATGTTCACCACAGCTGTTTCACCAAAATCAAAAAATTTATATGTTGATTATCTTCCATATATCAAACATCAGGTATATATGAAATGAGAAAAAAAGGTTTACTGGGGTTATTGTTCGGTTTGGAGACTGATAAACCAGGATGAAGACACATGTGATCAGGTTTTATTCCTGAAAGCTGCTGATTAATGGATCAGTGTGTTTTCTGTTTTATACACTCAGTTTTTTCTCTGAGTAAAACATTTTAAAGATTACTTGTTGAGGAAAAAAGATAAAGACAAATTAAACATTAAATAAACAGAGAAACATCTGAAACAGTTGTTAAGTAGACTGGGCTGAGCTGAGCACATGTGTCCACTAGAGGGCTGTGTAGGTTTAATTTTACATAATTGCTCCCAGCAAGTGAGGTTGGCACAAAGTTCTCCTAGTAAAAGGGGAATATAATTTACATCTTCTTTCTCCAACATTCCACACTGTCTTTTTTTATGACAGTAGCTAAATTAAATTTTGTGCCAGTATTGAAAAAGATCAACCCATGAAGAAGGGTCTCTTAAGGTGTTCAGAGTTACAAAACTGATTGTAATCTGCCTGTTTCAGGAACCAAAGACAATAACTGTGTCCTTTAAACACAATTATGTCATTGTTAACTAGTTTAGTAACTTAAAGAGACAAAATAATTCAAATGTTGTCTTCTAAGAAAATAAAAGAATGACATTCATCTTAAAGGACAATTCAACTGAAATGAACAGTATATGAATTAAGTTGAATAGCTAATACTTTCCTGTCATGTTTTATGAATGTGACACAAGCAAAACACAAAAAAGCTAAAAGGTCACTAGAATATTTATCCAAATGCAAAAACCAAATCACATCATTTGCAAAGTAATGTGACAGTATTTGACAAAAAGAAATATTTTAAGAAACACAAAACAACAAAGATGGTGCAAAAAATATCATGGATCTCAAAAGTATTTTTCAGAGCTCTTTAACATTTAATAAACTTCAAAAGTATTTAATAAAATCAAATATCTAATGACAACCAAATTTTAAATAATGAACATTTTACTTCATGGAAAAATATTTAAGACACACAGACACAATGTACAATATGTTAAATATCTTATATGACAGAAAAAACATTTCAAAAGTCATAATGATAATCGTAATTTTGTGTGATTTGATGTTGTTAGGTGGTAAAGTGTGTGTTTAGTGGAATGCATTCATGAAAAGTTTGCTCAGTTGACCTCTATGGCCACCGTAGCCATTATTGTCTTATACAGACCTCATACAAAGAGCATGATCTTTATTTTGAAGAAAGAGCTAAGAAAATATTCATTTCGTTGTTTTATTCTTGATAACAGAGATCATGTACTCTCTGATGATCAAACATCCACTCAGCAACCATCAGCCCCGCTCTTTCCACTGTAGTGCGCCTGTAGTATCTCCTCTCTCTCTGTTGGGGGCGTTGCGCCTTCCCTCCCTCAGTCAGAGAAAGTTTTCCGTGCTGGGATGGAACTGATGACCCTCCGCTAGCAGAGAGGAGAGGAGGGCCGAGCCTGGAGCTGCCGGGGGAACTTGAAGCTTGCAGGGGGAGGAGGAGAAGAAGGAGGATTGATAAAAGAAGAGCGGCTGTCGGTGCGCAGCGCAATCCACTCCAGCAGCGAGTTGAGCAGCGCGCTTTACTGTGAGTCAGGAGGAGCGCAGAGACCGTAACACAGAGGAGTCCGAACCCGGGGTCACAGCTACACTCTTATCTACCCCTGTTAGTTCATTTTTTTTCTTGTTCAAGTCAGATCAGCTGTTTGAAAGTTTCCTCCGAGCTGGAACTTTGCTTTGGCACCGCTTGAACACCGAGGCAGAGCCGGTGTGGGATTTAGAGCCGGACCGGGACTCCTCTGATGCGAAAGCACATGTATGAGAAAACGATGGCCCAGGAGACCAGGAACGGAGGAACCTCCACCTTAAACAACAACAACGGCGTGAACAACAGCAAAAGAAAGGTGCTGATCGTGCTGGACATCTTCTGCCTGCTGCTCGGTAAGGCTCTGCAAACTTACTATGAGTACTTTACTGTCTGTTTTTACCCTCACTCCAGCTGAGTCACAAACTTTAAACTCTGCTGTCCCGCTCTGATCTTTAAAAAAATGAATTTCTTTAATGCTCACAGAGAGGGGCTGAAGGAGAAACCGCGCTTTTTGATGGCTGGCAATAATACACATTATCTTTGAGGTTTAACTGTTATCTTGAACCACAAGACGTCTTCATCTGCAGCATCCCCTTATCGTGCATTCACACAGCAGACTGAGGACAACACCACACGCAGCAGGCTGTCACACACACAAACACACTGTCAGACTAATACTGAACTCATAGTTTATTGATGGTAAAGAAAAGACCCCACATGAGAGTTTGATTTGTTTTCACATGAGAACTTTAAGGTTCAAAGTTTATTCATTAAAGGGCAAAACTGTCGTAGAGTTACAGGATGAAGCATGACAGCTGCAGAAAACTGTAGAAAAGGCTCAGATAACTAATAACAGATAAAAAAATAAGACAATTCTTCATTTAAGTAAAGCTTAATCTCTCTTCAGTGACACATACTGAGTGTGTTACCAAAGGTTGCAACTGGTGTCTTCACTTTATAAAAAGCTAGAACAGAGTCCCAGAGCATCGCTGCCCTCACAGTGCCATAGTGCAACCTGCCCTTTAAATAGCCGCTCACCCCCCTCCCTGTATATATATGACCCTAAAACTGAGCGGTGCCCCTCGTGCTGCCCAGCAGGTCACTGTGACGGAGAGGAAATCAGATAGTTGTCTTTACTGTATGGATCACTGTTGGTTTGTGTGCCCTGATTCACTCCCGCAGGCAGCGTGTGTGTGTGTGTGTGTGATGTAAGGTTTGAGTTGTTATTCTGCAGGCGTCCTGTCCTCATTCACACTCATTCTCTCAGTGTGTGTGTGCGTGTTTTTGTGTGTGTGGGTTTTGTTTTTGGCTGTTGTCACTGTAGCTCGATCCTTTTTCTTTCCAGCTCCCTTGCCCCCCTCCTTCTCTCTCTCTTTCTCTGCTTTCTCTCTGTAGAAGAGGATTATGGGAGTAACTTCTCTTCACATTCTCTCCCAGAAACCTGCAGATCCCGGGCCAGCTGCCCCTGATCACTCTCTCTCCTTCCCTCTCTCTCTCTCTCACTCTCTGTTTCTTTCTGTCTCGGCTCCCTCTGTGTAGGGGACTGTGGGGAATAATTGCTTAAGCATGTGTTGTTGAAGGGGAATGTCCCTGCGCTCTAACAGAGGAGGACTGAGAGGAGGGTCGCGTGGCTGAGGGGCTTCAGATTCAGTCAAGCAGGTGGGAGCAGATTCATACCGAGAGGCCTGAAGACCAGAAACTAAACCCACTGAAACAGCAAACAGGAACAGGCTGTTATTACTCAGGATGCTACGAATGGTGCACATTAACTCCAAAGACATACACACACAAGTTTTCCACTGCTCAGTTTTTATTGTTGAACTTATTAAGAAACCTCAAACACAAGAGCACTGTTTCATCTCCAACCAAACTCATGCAGATGAGCTCTGAGGACATGTGGAGAGAATTTCCTGCTAAAACCAACTTCCGACTCTGGTAAAAACTCTGCAGGAGAACACACATGTTTAATACTTTGTGAGGACAACTATAGTATTGTTAATCGTGTGAGTGAACACCACCATCACTGGCTGAGAAGTTGGTTGTTTTAAATTTTTTGAATGCATGGAAAAGCCTGTTTTTTTTCTGAGCTCAAGTGCAGTTTGCAAACAAACACAGATGACAGATGACGTCAGGTTTTGGTTCTACAGTATTTTGTTGTGGAAAATAGAGCCAAAGTTGCACATGGGCTGTGTCAGGTTAGCCCAGCCGAAGCGTTACGTGAACGTTGCTGTGAAAGAAGGACTATCAGCCAAATGTCAGTTATCGATAATTGGTCAAGGCTGATAATCTGCCTGCAAACCTGTTGACATCTCTTGCCCACAGACATTTTTTGTTTTCTTTCTTACTCTACGTTTATTATTACCCCTAGACCACATTGACAGATTTCATGCTGTAACTGCTGACCAAACCTTACTGTCAGCTCACCAGCTCACCTATCATGAGGCAAGGAGGTTGGGTTGGGGTGGGCCTTTAGCCTCTTTGCTAACAGCCAAAGCGCACCCACCTGTCAGGGTGCACATGTGGTTTTTGGTACCTCTGCAGCCTGCCTTTGGAAGGCAAAAGCACTGCAGTTTTTTGGACTTTGCTTTGGGTTTAATTTTTTAAACTCATTGTCATTTGCTTCAGACTAGTTGCCCAAATGAAATTCAAATATTCACCTAAGCCTCCAAAAAATTAGTCGCTTTAGAGCTTCAGAGAAGTTGAATTATTACCTTAAAATACAGAGTTGTAGTAATGGTTTAGAGGAGCACAGCTGAATGTTTCATTTGTGTAAGAGAAAGTAAAGTGCATTAATGTCCCCAAAGGCAAGGTTGTCTGCTGATAGCTGGTCCCAAGAAGTACACAAAGACAAGCTCAAACGCACACACTTACACTAACAAGTGGCCACAGATTTTCTTTTGTCATGCTAAACACAATCTGCCCGCTCAGAGATGATTGGTTGCCCCACTTTAGTGATCGGGGGAGGGGAGACAGCAGGATGGGGGCACTTTAGGGGGAGGAGAAGGGAGGGTGAGGGGGTTAAAATGGAGAAGAAGAAAGGCAGGGAGAAAGGGGGCGAGGCCCTGAATGAGAGTGAGGAATGTGTGTGTGTCCTCACTGAGTTTAAAGGTGATGAAGACCAAACTGCTGGTTAATACACACATGTCTCATTACGTTTAATTAGTTTATGTCTGCCAGCTGATGCTGCACACACACACACACACACATTTGCATTTACACACAAACACATTCCCTGAGGTGATGTCTGTGATTGTGTTTGCATAGAGGACATCTGAGGCCTTCCTTAAACACACTCATGTGGACAAACTCATAAAGAGATTCCTCCTCATGTTGTTTCTACTAAATAAGACTAATGATGCAGAAACACTGCAGGGTCTGAATCTGATGAACACACACACACACACACACACGTATACTCACACACAGGCAGCAGAGGTCCAGCTGAGGACAGGAATCATCAGCTGATTTTTGTTTTGGCTCGAGTTTCTCGCTCCCTTTGCAGCCAAGTTGGTTTAGTGAGCCTATAAGAAGACACACACAGAGCATATACACTTTCTATAAATACTGAGTCCACCACAGACTGCAGAACCTCATTCTTCCCCCTTTTCTGTCTCACATACTAAAAAAACACTCCCCCTGAGTATAACCTGGGATTTGATTGTGAAAGAACTTCGAGGAAACCGTGGCCTCACTCTAAAAGCAGCCTCACTGAAACCACAATTAAGTTTTACTCATTGTAAAGGAGACACTGCATGTCGAGTCGAGCAGAGTTGAGTAGTGCTAAAACGGTGTAATGGAAAAGCAGCATAAGTGAACCAGCCGAAAGTATATGATTTCTGCATGTATTAATGCAGCTGGAGAGCCTGAAATCTTCTGCTGGATGTTGTAAAATGATCAGCTTGATACCTACCTAGACTCAAATCATTTTAGTCCGTCAGAGGTATATTTTCCTGCTCTGGGACCCGCTCAGCTGCTCTGTGATGTCATATTCCTGCAGCTAAAAAACGCTCTGACTGTTTTTAGCAGCAGAGACGCCGCGTGTGACCTTTCAGCCCAAGGAAATCAGCTTCATATACCCCGCAGCTCTAACCTGTTCTGTACCCTCCCTCTTATATTACAGCTGTCTGTGTGTCTGTCTGTCACACAGCGCTCATTAAAGCTGCAGGTTTAACCTCTCGCTCTCTAGACCTCAGCCACTTCAATCCTCCACCGCTGCTGCACAAATATTTTCCAGAATTTCTCAGATTCTTCATCTGCTGCTGCTGCAGCCGCGGCCTCACACTCTTCATCTGACATCTGGTGTAATTTTGGAGCAAGTGAACCAGAGGGCAAGAGTGTGTGTGTGTGTGTGTATAAGAGAGAGAGAGAGAGAGATTAGTGTGTGTGTGTGCAGAGCGGTGTTCAGGAAAGGGTGGGAAACGGAAAGGTAGTGTCGGTCGGAGGTAGGTGTGGTTGTGAAATGAAATCCTGTCTCCTTTTTTCTGCCTCACAGCCCATTTCCATCCTCTCCCCCTTTCCTTCCCCCACCCCTCCCCCTCTCCTCTTGAGTCCCCTCCCCCCCCCCCCCCCCCTTATCGTCCGGCTTTGACGTTAAAGAGAGAAACAGTGACATAAGGTGAGAGGAACAGACACTGAGAGGCTGTAAAAACCTGCAGAGTTTAGAACCAGCGAGAGAGAAAGGAGTGCTGTTTGTGTCTGGAAGTAAACTGTAATCAAAGCTGGTGGGAGGCCCTCACACACACACACACCCGCACGCACGAACACACACAGAAAGCAGCAGTCCTGAGCTTAATCTGAGGGTAAATATTGTCTGTTTCTGTTTCAGAGCAGGAGTGCGCTGACAGAGATGTGTAAAAGTTCAGAGGTTTCATACTGACATCGACATTTAGCTATAGATATCAGATATAGATATAGATCTGACTCAACTCTGCGGTTTTATCATTCTAATGTGAGCCAAGCGGAGAAAAAAACCCTGTAAATTGACTGACATCTTCAATAAACAGCCTGATCAAGCCTGAGTAGTCAAACAGTTCAAATCAATCACTTTTCAATGGGGCCCTCTATGAACCAGATGTACGTCTCAAGAGTTTTCAACCTGAATCCCAGATGTTGCACAGTGTCTTTATTTTGGTTCACTGATCTGATTTAGTTTGTTGACTTTTTGGTGTTTTTAACTCTCAAACCTCATTTCCCAGAGTAAATACCTGTTTAAGCTCAGTCCGGTTCATGCTGAGGTCAGATTCTATAATCTCTCTGACTGACACCATGTTTGCTGTGTCAGACCGGACAATCACAGAGACATACGTTCCTGCTGTGACTTTACCAACAGGCATGACAGTCAACATGTTGATACTTGACCAGTCATCATGTCCAATAAGCTGATATTTGAAGGAGGGAGGTGGGGCGAGACAACACCTGGAGATTGTAACTGCAGTGTGTCGGCAATCATGCCTCTACTGCTGAATTGACGTTTTGTTTGTTTACACTCCTGAATTTTGCACATGCAGAGCGCTCTGTGCTGGTGAACATTACTGATTTGACAGAAAAGTCTGTAGATACATTATCTGTATGATATCAGTATCAGTAGATATGAACATTTCAGGTAAGAAAATTGCATTTATTTTTGTCCATATTTCAGGATTACTGTGACACTTGTGTGACTTGTACTGAGTAGAACTAGGGATACACAACATTATCGGCTTGATGTTAGAGTCAGCAGATAATAGTCTCAATATTTGATTATTGGTATCAGTAGAGATGAAAAGCTGTGATTACAACCTTGGGACTGGACAAAATTGTTTAGAGGATATTAGAATATCTGCAGAAATTCAATATCATAAAGCATATATCCAGACCTCAGCATCAGAGGAAATGAGGAGACAAGCAGATATCCAGAGTTTTTTTAAACTGATATAAGATATGTCTCACAAACAGTAACTTTTGGCTCTGTCTGTGGTAACGACAGAAACTAACAGAGACTCTGCTCTGTCTGTAGCTCATGTCATCTATTCTTAAGCTGCTTTGTTTTCATTTCAAGTATTTAGAAACTGTTGGACAGCCTTACAGTGAGATCAGATGTTTCAATCGTCTGTATTTTTCCACATCCTGAAAGCTGCAGGAGTTCCGAGTCAGCCTGTTCTCCTGTTTGTCCCCAGAGGTCAAAGTTCAGACAGAAAATAGACTCTTATAGGATGCCTGCATGCAGAGGTCTCTGTGTGACATTTCCTGCTCACACACACTCAGGAGGATACAGTCTGTACAGTCTTAGATCCTTTTTGTTCAGCAGATAATTTATGATTTTCCACTCCGCGTGCGTAAGTGTGTGTTATCTAAGACTTCAGATGGAGGGGCTTGAGTTTGGCATTGTGAGTGTGTTTTATTGCAGTTTGTGTTGATGTGGAGCTACAGAATGAGGTGTTGTGTGTCCTCAGAGACGCGTCTATCAGGTAAATCATCAAATCAGCTGATCATCATGACGTCAGTGTGAAGATGAGGCTGCTACACCAGGAATACGTGTGTGTGCGTTTGTCAAATAGTTTAATATCACTCAGTTATTGGACAGACTGTATGCCCTGCAGGGAGCTAAAGTGTGTGGATGTGTTTGGATGCATGTGTGAGGCCTCTGCAGCTGGTTGTGTATGTTGAGTGTATTGTTTTTCTGTTTCTTCTTTGGGTTTGGGTGTGGTTCTTGACTAGCTTTTGTTATTGTATCTGTTTTCTCATAATCATAAAGCAGACTCAACCTCCTTCCTGTAAGAACAGACAGCAGAGATGAAGCAGTGATAAGGTAGAAATAAAGCAGAGATGAAGAAGAAGTGAAGAAGAGATGATGAAGAGGAGATGAAGCAGAGACAAAGAGGGGATGAAGAGGAGATGAAGCAGAGATGAACAATGATCTGTTTGCAGTGACTCTGACTGTTTTCTGTGGTTATCTCTCTGCTCACAAACTGCTCATTTAGATAAACCCAGATTATGACCCGACCATAAACTGCTGTTAGCGCTCCTGTTTTAAAGTCCTGTTGAAGTTTTTCAGCTTATAAACGCTTGAAATGATGGTGAATTGCTGTTTTGGTCTGTATGAGAAGCTCTTTCTGCTCCACAGGCTGCAGATCTGATTATCCTCCTGGATCAGCAGCTCAGAGCAGACAATGCTCCCAGTATCTGATGGAAATGAGAGCAGAGGCAGCAGATGATCCTCACTCCTTCAGATCCGACCGGCCTCATTACAGCCCTCTGTCCTGCTCCTGCTGTCACACAGACCCCTCTGTCTCTCTGTCTGTCTCTCTGTCTGTCCGTCCCTCACTTTCCCTGCAGACCCCTCTCTCTTTCTCTGTGTGTGATGGGGGGCTGGGGGTCATGCAGATTTCACTGTTTCTCTGAGAACAATACCTCTTTTGATGCTTCTCAGCCTCTTTGTTTGGGTAACGAGCAGCGACAGTAGGGAGCAGACAGAGGGAGGACAGAGAGAGAGAGAGAAAAAGTGAATGAGGTGAAGATGAGAGAGTCACAGAGCTCTCCTCCTCCACCTCTCAGACCACTTTAGTCTAAGTCAGAGGTTTACGGCCTTCGTTGATGGCCTGTATTACACCTATACTGTAGCTGATGAATGATCTGTACTAAAGCTGTATCTCAACTGTAATTTTAGTGTATTTTCTGCTTTATTTTAGCTGTACTTAATCTCTTATTTTGATGTTTGTGGGCTGCATATGGGCAGTTTGAAACCAAGCTGTATCTCAGCTGTATTTTGCTTGTTTTTAAGCCACATTTAACTTTTATTTGAGCTGTTTTTAAGCCACATTTAACTTTTATTTGAGCTGTATTTAAGTTAAATTATTGTGCTTTTAAGTTTTATTGTAACTGTAACTGTAATGCTTTTTAAAATTGTAATTATATAGTCTTTAATTGATTAATCATTGCTGCTGTTATTTTGCTGTATTTTAGCTGTTTTAACCTGTGTTAAACGTGTAATTTAATTGTATTTCAGCTAAGTTGTTGTGTGAGTTGTGTTGTAGCTGTTGTGTGAGCTGCTGTGTCATCAACGCTGTCTGTGCTGTAATCAGCTCAGTGTGTTTGTTGGCGTGGGTCTGTATGGGTCTTATCTGAACTTCGGACTGAGCTCTCTCCTGTTTGCACACAAAGAGGAGGCTCCTTTAATAAAGAAGACTTCCTGCAGAGTCCTCCCTCTGCAGCTCCTCTTCAACACCTATTGTCTGCAGGTAAACAGGAGGTGAGCACAGGTGAGCAGAGGAGGTGGAGGAGAGCAAGTAAAGGAGGAAAGTAGGTGTCATGTTTCAGGGCGGTCTCCTCTGCAGCCCGGTCTTTGTCAGCAGGGTGTGGGCTGTAATAATGTCATTATGGTAACAACAGAGGAACAGACATCCAGGTATTCATGTGGGCTGATGGGGCCTCTGGGCTCTGCTCAGGTTTCTCTTCACCTAAGCTGCGGTAGGATCCTCTGGTTTAACTAACGGTGCAGCAGGACACTACATCATAACCACCACTCTCATCTTTAGGCTGTTCGGTCTGGAAGTTCTTGAGTTATGGTGATAAATTTTCAGCAGACAAACTCACCTGAGTGTTTTGATGGATTTGAAAGTAAATACAGAGTTGGTGTGATGTTTTAAACCTGTTGCTGTCAGATGTGTTGGACGGTCTGTTAGTCCAATAAAGCACACAGACACACTTATTATGAACAAATCTGCAGAAACGTGACCAAGGCGTTAAAGATCAGAGTGAACATCACCAAAAAACTGGTTTTGTACCTGGCTGTAAACATGTGTGAAGTTTTTACATGGGACTCTATGGGGACCGAATCATCATAGGACACAGCCTCTAGTGGACATGAGTGGAACTGCTTTTTAGGACTTGTAAGCTGCTGCTTTAGTTTGAGATAACCTCCCTCCACATCTGCCCCTTAAGCCAGCAGCAGCAGCAGCTGTTAGAGGCTACCCTCACAGGTGTCCTACAGAGAGTGTCCTGACAGATGCCTGAGTGTAAAAAGCGTTTATTCACGTGAACCAAATCTCTCTGAGTAAGCACATGCTGCAGCCAGCGGCCCCCCGGTCTGTGCAGCATTCACACAGAGGACAGGGATTGACTCTGCACAGCACTCTGCTGACCTCAGCCACTCCTCTGTGTGTTTGAGTGTAGTGTAAGAGTGTGTATGTTTGTGTGTGAGTGTGTGTGCATGTCTGTATAAGTGTGTGTGCATGTAGGACATACACATCAGCAGCTTGTACAAATAAAGAGCAAACATCTGTATAGGTCTGCATGAGTGTGTGTGTAGATGCAGTCTGGGTGGTTTTCATGCAGCCGTTTTGTTTATCTGGATCCTGCATAGTGTTTTTTTTAAGCTCATTGTGGTTGAAAACTTAAGAATGTTTGAGAAAGACTGCAGAAGTTTCCAGAGGGACCACAGTCATTCACTTTGACACCCACACAGCCACACACTCACTCACACATACATACACACTGCTAGAGTAATAATAGGTGCTGTTACAGTCACATTTGTGCTCCGCTCTCACTTGCCTCTGTATGATCCTCGATCTACATTACCCCCCTGACCTTTGATCCCTGGCCCTGCAGCCCCTTCCAGGGTCTGTCCCGGTCCTCAGCTGACCTTGGATCTCTGCTCCCAGCTGTTAGCTGTTGCATGCCTGGAGCGCTTCACATGCTCGTGTTGAGGGTTTTACTGACCTAAAGATAAAGTTGGGTGTGTGGGCGCTCAGCAGCAGGTCGCGTTGGATGTGTGACAACTTTCTGAACATCTCAGGCATCTGCCTTAGCGGCTGTTTTTAAACCAGGAGGTCAGAGTGTGTGTTTGTGTGTGCACTCTGTTAATGAGTCACATTAAAGGGTTATTCTTGTGTTTTGAAAAACAGAAAGAGATCGAGGAAGACATATTTTGAACCAGGAACAGGAGTCAATTGATATTAGGTTTTTTAACAGCAGGTGCTCATACAGATATGGTTGGTCGATAGTTATTGCTGATATTACATTGCTGTTTTTTTTTTTTTTTTTTTTTTTCTGCATTGACAAAATATGTCAGTTTTGTAATGTCAGCATTAATATACATTTTAACATGTATGTAATTAAGTGACTGTGCTCACTTGAGACGAAATTACTGTTGGAATCTCAGAGTCAAACTAACTAACTAACCAAACAAGGCAGAGGTAGACCAGTAACTCCTGTGTCAATTACGAAAAATTCACAGGTCTCCATAGTGATGAATGGTGAGCTTGTGGAGGTTGGTGTAACAGCTGTTTGAGGTTCAAAGTCACCTTCTCTGTAAGACTGAGGTCAAGGAGAAACTGACCAACCAGCTAATTAAGGTGTTTATTAAGGATTTAATGGAGATTAAGGGACTTGGCTTATTTACATGTTTAATCAGCATTAAAACCTCGTAATGCTGCTGCTTCTCACCTGTCTGCTGCTCGGCTCAACACCTGGCACCTCTTAGATATTCACCCTTAGATAGACTTACGCAAGACTAAGCTTTCTCACCTAACACAAACATTTTTGCCCTTGGGATGCAAACACACACTCACACGTGGTGTTCAGTGTACAGCCGCTCAGTGAGTTGATGCTGGAAGAGGACATTCATTCAGGAGAACACGCTATAAAGAGCTCAGCTGAGTATCACAAGAGTACCACAACACACACATAAACACACACATAAAATCATAAAGAAATCAAATAGAAACTATATGATATCGGTTTTATGTATGTGGGGATGTAGGCTGTTCACAGAGTCCTCTGACAGACCAGGGTGTCATGATGCTGCAGGTTGAGATGGGATTTGATTGAAATAAATCAGTAGTTTGGAAAATTCAGAAATCAGAAACTATTGATGAAGTGTTGTCTTGTTGATTTTTAAAGATTTTCATAGGGTGAAAAACCAGACAGTTTGATCATTTTGCTTCTTAGTAGGACATGGTGAATTGTTCTGTTGTTAATTGTCTGTTTCTAAAAATATGAACCTGCTGTAAATACTGATAAAGCTTGAGGTGTGTGTGCTACGTGGGCAAATATATTACCCTCTAAATGCTGGTGCAGGTCCAGATCTGGCTCAGGATAAATCAGCATTAATAGCTGATCCCACTCCAACAGGAATAGACCTTGGCTGAAGTTAGCTCCTCTGCATACCAGTGACCCCTGGAGGTCAGAGGGTTATCAAAATGATCTTAGAAAACGCTACACTATACTGACACTGACGGAAAATCTTTACATATACTCCTGTATATTTCTTACTTTGTAACAGTGTTATCCTTTATACTGATTAAACAAATCCTGAATCTGACAGAATAGACTCTAAAACCTCAATGGTTTCAGCAGCTTTTAGTTGTATAATGAATCTCAAAGTCAAGATCCTGAAGTAACACACTGATTGACTTCCTCTACATTGATAATGTGGACTTAACTGTGTTAAAGTGCAAAGTAATGGAGTTACAAATGTGTCTAATTGTGATTAACTACTAGAATTGTGTGATTAATCTGGTGTTAAACGTTATAACAAACGTAAGAAAAGTACAATAAAACCAGATTCCTTTTTTACTTTAACAGACAGGTTGATTGTCTGATTCTCAGCGGCTGTCTGACCTGTTGCAAAGCCCTGAGAAAACCACAGAAGAAGAGATGACAGAGTGTGATTGATTGACTCAGTCTACAGAGTCTCACCCCTTCCTCTCTAACCTTCCTCTGTTTCCTTGCCCCTTCCTCGTCAGGACGGGTCATATGGTATGTTTAGACGACAGGAGGAGGAAATCCTCCATTAGGACTGACCACAATACCTCTTCCCTCTTCTTGCCCCGCCTCCCATTTAGCTCCCACACTAGCTGCTGACGTTCAACATAATCACGATATCAGTCTGATTCTGCCCTGAGAGCCATGAAAGCCCATTAAAATGTCAATACAGACCCGGAGAAGGGTGGGGGTGGGTGGGGGTCATGAGAACGGGAAGCTTGCCACTTTACTCCCATTGCATGCAGGTGATGCTCTTCAGGCAAATTAGAGCCATGTCAGGAAGAATTAACCTTCAGTGTGACGCAGAGCTTAGCTGCCGTAAGAATAGTTATTGTGTCCGGGTCTGCTTAAGTCCAGAGATGACCCTTAACCTGCAGCACAGAGCAACTTAAGGTCAACATGCATGCTTTGAATATGTCCAAAGTCAAACACTGAGGTGTTCAGAGGGGGGTTTCAGCGCCAACAGGGACCATCAGCCTCTTCTCAGCCCATGGGAAAAGTTTAAATCAGACGTGTTCGCATTCATCCTGCTAATCTGAGCGCTAACTTGCTACACCAAATTTAACCCCAAAGCCAATCAAACGGACGCTGTCTGGATAATCCGTCTCACACACAAACACACAAACCTGTGTACGCTAACCACTTACACACACTGTCACACACACTTACACACATAACACTTTAACATGACCACACAAACCACAGATAAACACGCACCAACATACTGCAGGGCTACAATTCCCAACATGCAGCAGAGCATGAGAGCAGATTTATAGACAGAATATAAGACCAACATGCAGACCTACACACATTCACACAGGCCCTGCTATGACCTCTGCATATAAACAGTGATTCAACCAACCATAGAAATACCTCTCTCTCTCTCGTTCTCTCTCTTTCTCTCTCTCTCTCGCAGTCTCCAGCGGTCTCTCTGTCTCTCTTTCTAATATTCTTAAGCAGTCTGCAGCGGTTCTCTTCATTCACTTAAAGAGAGAAATGCATGTCAGGATCAGATAAGACAAAGTGAACTGTTCCCCAAACTCTATTACCCACCTAAAAGGAGCGTGATTTCTCTGTGCGACGTTTCGGCCTCAATTACTCTCAGACTTCTGTATTTGATGTTAAAAGGTTTTGAGGGGCTCATTAGCTCTAAAAGCACAGGATGCTAAACTTCTCCTGCACAGCAGAAACATTAAAGCAAAGTGTGGAAACCTGCTGGAACCAGTGCCAAATATGCATTCACTTCCTCGATGTCGTCAAGATTGAACCACAGTCGCACATGCACATATCCTGCAGATTTCAGGAGAATATCAGGACAATCTGTCTCTGAAATACCCAGAGTTGTTATTCACTCATGTCCCTCGCGGGGTGAAGTTTTCTCTGTCAGACAGCAGGGGGAGACTCATGAGGTGCAAAGGATGCTGTTGTAGCCTCAGATAGTACCACACTTATGTTATTGTTAATTGTCAAGTAATGGAGTCAGAACTTTAGCAAAGTGTTAGTCCAGGCACGCCACAAAGTCAAGGTCTCCCCACCGTAAATCAGCTGATCTTAAAGAAACGGACAGCTCAACTGAATACCCTCCATGCATCCAAATGTTCTACTTTAACTAACTCAGTCTGGCTTCTCTTCCTGCGTCCTCCACTCCGGCTTTTTATGCCATGTCTGATTTTACCAGTGTCTGCTCTGTACCTCACCAGGGGTCTTTGCTGATGCTCTCCCTGCCTTGGCTTTTCCTGTAGACACATGAAACACAGGAGAGGTGTAACCTTGTCTTAAGAGAGATTTAGAAAGTGAGAGATGAGGATTAAATAACAGACTCTTTGCTGAAGCAGCAGATTTGGTCCATTCTCTTTGTCAGTCTTATATAAATGAATCTACAGCTTCATTGACCTCATGTCAGAGGTTGTAAAAAATCGTTTTTTAATTCACTGATGCACAGCGTGGTTCTTCTAGCAGCCCCGCCCATCTCTTTCTTCTACCTCCTCTGTCTAACTCCCCCCTCCTCTGACACTCCCCCTTCTCTCTGTCTGGGTCAGCAGCCTTACAGAGGTCACATACTCTTCTTCCCCCTGCTGTTAAACTGGTTGTATTTCTCCTCTGAAGAGTCTGCAGATGAGGCTCAGATGGACTCATGGACAGCACAGGGTCGTAGTTTGATTCCCACCCTGAGCTTGTTTTCTAGGAGCAGCAGCACAGATTAGCCCGCCACCAGAGGGTCTGATAGAGAGGCTTTCACAAATCCTTTATTCATTCCAATAAGGTGCTCAAACGCTCTCAGATTCCTCCCTCAGTCCTTCAGATGGTCCATTCCTGAGTTTCCCAGGCTGCTGTAAAAGTGGTTTAGCTGCTAAGCACTTGTTTATGCATATGAGTGAGTGTGTATCTGTTAAGCCAATGAACTCGTCTCCTTTCACTTCCCTTCATTAGCATGTGAATCCCTCCTCTAACAAGTAGGCCAGAGTGGAGCGATGGAGGAGAAACATGAAGACACAGAGCAGCGGGACACTTGTCATTTTCGTGAAGATTCTTTGACAGGACTTCAGGAGAGGCAGTGAGCTGAGCTGCTACTTCACGGATCTTCCTATTCTTTTTATTGTGCTGTAAACAAAAGTCTGACTATTTACAGCAGAGTCCTTATTTTAAATCCAAAGTTTTAAACAGATCTAGACTTTTTATGCCAATCATCTTGATGTTGCTGCAAGATTGAAGAGAATCTTACAAACAAAAGGGCTGGAGGAAATCTGTGTAACACTTTTATGAGTTTCTTCTCCTGCTTCAAAGTTTGACACTGCACATTTAATGGCTGGATTTTTTTCTAAATGAAGCAGTAAAACCTCTTGAAACCACCAACTTAAGCCATTTTAGTTCAAATTCTTTGTCTCGCTAAATCTCTTTGATAGTCAGGAATAGAGAGGGGCTGCAGGCTGAGCTGCTGCTGATTCTGATCCTTCAGTTTTCATCATGTTTTAAACAGTTTTCTCATTTTTTTCTTCTTTAGTGGAAATGGACTCAGTTTTGAATCCAATAAAAACTGAAAAAAAAAATTAGCTTTTGATGTTTAAGATGATTTAAGTTGAACTCTCGGTAGTCTGTGAGGGGGCTGTGAGCTGAGCTGCCGCCAGTTGTGTCTCCTTTATGTCTGAACTTTACTCACTTTTGCAGTATGACAGGTTCTTAGTTATCATGTCTGTTGTGCTTCATCTTCAGATCATTGTTCTCTCATTTCTTGTAGACATTATTCACTCTCTAGACCACTCACTAAGACCCTGCTCTGCAGATGAAAATCCACACATAGTTTGGATTGAGCAGTAAAAACTGCAGATTTACAAAGTGATGTCAGATTTATCTCCTCTCTGTTAAAGGCGGTTAGATCCATGCTTGCAGGGGGATAAATGTCCAAAGACTCTCACAGTAAAAGTTATATTACAAAGTAGAAAGTTTCATCCCTCAGTTCTCAAACACGCCAGGCTGTCAGAGATGTTTTTACTGGCTTCAGCTTTCCAAATAAAACTCAAAGCCTTCACAGCCACATATGTAAAAACAAAGAGCAGCAGATAATAACAGCTGATTTTTCCTATTATAGTGTATTAGTGTGGACATGGACCCACTGAGCTGAGCTGACACGCACTTTGTTCTTTAAAGTGGGAGCAGATGTTACAGTGTGGATGTTAGGAAGCGTGAGAGTCGGCGTGTGAGTCCACAAGAATCCGTCAGAAAGATTCTCTGAGGTTTTTCAGAAACTGTTTTTCATGACAGAACAGAAACTGGATCTGATCTCTGTCTTTGCTCAGAGAACGAGCTCCAGGGTGCGTTCAGGAGGAGAGTAGTCTGTACTATGGCTGTGATCAGAACCTCATGAACCACAGAGAGGAGGGTGGGTGTGCAGTCTGACGCCCTGAGTGTGTACATTATCGTGTGTGGAACCGTATGTTATCGCGTGTGGGTCGTCAGGACGCCTTCGTGTCTTTAGCTCTCCATATTTACGAGCCGCTACAGTCATACTAACTTAAATCAAACACACTGACATGTGAAAATGTTCCAGAGCAGTGGCTTCTGCTGTTTTTCTTGGTGCTCAGAGGTTTTAAACCCCAGAATATAAACTCTGACAGTCTCAAGAGTTCACCGTCTAGTTCTGTGGTCATGTGATCTGTACGTCTCTGTTTATGTTCCTCTCATCTGAACATGCTGTGAGGAATGATGTGTTTTCACAGTAATAAAGGACAAAGTTATGTCTGTTTGCTTTCTTGTTGACATTGGTACCAATCTGTGTACTCAAAAGTAGAATTATAGGCTTAACTGATTTACAGTTCAGGGGAAGATATTTACACACCTGTTGCGCTGGTCTGTGATTTGTGACACATGGAGGTGTAATGGTTGGGTGAAGTAGACCCTCCTCTGATTCACTTTGAGCGGTTAGTGTAATCATGGAAGATGATGGAGATGTGTAGGGCTGGGTGATATTGCCACAAATCAATATCACAATTTACTGAGCAGTTCACTTCCAAAACAATAAATGGACGATAATTACTCCACAAGCTGCTCACCGCCTCCCACAGTAACTTCGTCTACTTCAGCCACCGCTCCAGCTGCTACAACTTTTGAATCCATTTGAAGTAGCACCACATGATGTGACATTACTGCCACGAGGAAGTGGTAAAAATGTGTTTTGAAAGCTTATTTAGTGCTCAAATGGCAGTCAGAAAATTGGCTCCTTCTCTCTACACTTTCAGCTCCAATTTTAAACCTTCAGTCCCCTCTTATTGAATTTCTCTTAGGGGATCAAAATGTTCTTCTTCTTTGTCTTTACTATCAGCCCTCTATTCCCTATCAGCCCCTCTCTACACTATCTGCACCCTCTCTTTACACTATCAACTCTCTCTCTGTGTATACGATTAGCCCCCTCTGCAGGTTCTCTTTGTGTGTATGTGTGTATGTATGTTTACTCTTCTTCACAGGATGCCGCAGAGTGAAGCTCAGGGCTCAGTAAGCCGGTGTGAAACTGTTACAGGATCAGTAGAGTGTCTTTCTCTCTCTCTCTCTCTCTCTCTCTCTCTCTCTCTCTCTCTCTCTCTCTCTCTCTCTGTGCTCAGTAAACTGACTTATCAGTGTTAGCTTGGGTTCATACACACTCCTGTTACGCTCTAAATGTGTGTTAATGAGTTTTTTTTGCAGCTCTCAGGTAAGTGCATTAAGCTCTTTGATGCGGCTTCAAAAGTGTGTGTGTGTGTGTGTGCAGATTCAATCGTTCATTCATGTGTGTGTATGTTTGTGTGTGTGTGTGTAGCCATGCTGCCCAGCCTGTTGCTGCACCGCTCCTCAGTGCGGCCTTATCAGAGGGGTCTGTACTGCAGTGACACCAGCCTCAGCTACCCCTACAAGAAGTGCACCGTGTCCTCCTCAGTGCTCATGGCTGTCGGGCTCTTACTGCCCGCCGTGTCAGTAAGTCCTGCTCCCAAAAACCACAAAGAGCACAGAGGGATCGCTGAAGGCAGAAACGGGGAGGGCTGGAGCTCATAGTGGAGGCTGTGAAGGAGGGATGGTGATGTTCAGGACAGAGTAAAGCTAAACAATACTTTGTTTCCAGTCAATCCTAGTTGTTATTTTACATATTTTAGGTTCTAAATGATTTAAAAACAAAAATAGTTTGAGTGTTTCCGCAGAAGACTTACGATTTTTAAACCCATCACTCCATCACTTAAGCTGACCACACATGACCTCTTAAAGCCCTGCCCTCTTCTGCTGTATTCTTATGATCCTCTGGTTTCTCTTTGTGCCCCCTGTTCTCTGTTCATGTGGTGTCACTGACCTCTCCCCCGTCTCTCTCCCTCTCTCTCTCTCTCTGCTCCTCTCTTCCTGTGTCTCCTGTAGCTAGCCTGCCTTTCCTGATCATTGAGACTAGCACCATAAAGCCGTACCAGCGCGGGTTTTACTGTTCGGACGAGTCCATCCGCTACCCCCGAAAAGAGGGAGACACCATTAGTGATGCGGTGCTTTGTGGCGTTGGCATTCTTATTGCCATCTTCTCTGTAAGTGGACCTTCACACTGCCTCTGTTTGCTGCTTTGACTCCAGGTAGAAAGCCTCACTAACATAGTCCCTCCAGATTCTGAGGGATTCATCATCACTGTCCTGCAGAGATGCACTCTTTCAACGTCATTGTGATTTTCATGTCTTCACCCTCTCATGTCCTCTACGTCACACTCTACTCCTCCACGTCAGCCCATACGTCACCCCTGTGTTAGGATCTGCTTTTATCTCTGCTCAGCTTGTCAGTGCTAGAGAGAGAGGCCTGCAAGATGACCAGAGAGGTGACAAGAGCTCCAGGTCTGGTCTCAGAGCCCCAATCATATCCCTGCAGCCCAAAGCTAAGACCCTACGCCTTCTAAGACCCCCGACCTGCAAGTCCCTGCAGCTGAACGCCTCACTTGCTTGCAACCCAGAAACCCTGCTTCTGCTGAGTAGATCCTGCAGATCAGAGTGGGCGGAGTCTAAGGAGGTGGAAACATGTTATAACGATGTGGTGGGCTCCACGTCTGTGGATTAATGACACGTGGTCCTGCTAAAATGATTGTTACAGACCCCAGACTCTCTGTGGCACCACAGACTCCACAACATCAGCTCAGTGGGCACTAACACCCCCCCACACACACACACACACACACACACACACACACACACAAACTCACAATCATACTCGTTTATATATTCCTGTGTGGGCAGAGCTGGCGTGTCTCACACAGCTGTGCTCCATTAGTGGCGTCTCCTGCCATGCCGACACCATTCCTATTACACACACATGCACTCTATCTCACACACAAACATACAATGACCGTATACACACACACAGACTATACACACACATTTACTGGTAGCAGTTTGACAGACTTGTCGTCAGATAACTCCGAGACGTGACAGACCAAAGTTAATGTTGGAGCGTCAGTCAGAAACCGTCAACATATTCACTGATTGCACATTTATAACAGTCTCCGCTTTCTCTAACCTCATACACACATACACAGATATTTGTAAGAAGTGATTTTTTCCTCCCAACTTCTTCAGAAAAGTTCCTGTCCATCGCAGAGGTGTTATGAACACTTCTCTGTCCAACACAGAAATAGCTGATAAAGGCATATTAACCCAGCAGATAACCACAAACTAGTTAGTGGGCGCATACATAAAGAGCTCTTTTTAAGCCAGCAGATATTAGAAACCATGTTCTTTTAACTGTGCACACAGCGGCAAATATTTATTCCTCCCTGTGCTGCAGTAAATGATGAATACATCTAGATTTCCTCAGAGGTATTCAATGAAAGCTGATAGTCAGCAAGGACCACTTTGTCAAAAGAATAAGTATCTTGCATGCAGAAAGTTATTTTTGGTTGTATGACTGTTCTGAGAGTTCCCTATAAGCTACCACAAAGAAAAGTAAAGCGGCAAGCATGCACGATGCAGAAGTGCAGACATGTTGGGACAAACTGTGACAGGATGAAAATCAGAGAAGAGCAGGATCTGACTGGGTCTGATAACTGAGTTTTGACTGGGCTTGATTGGGTCTGACTGAGTTGACCAGGTGCTGACAGCTTAAATAAACTCCCTCAAGCTGCGTCAGGCTCCTTACGCTCTCATCTGAAGCTCCATCAGAACAGTTCATTCACAATAACACATAAACACGCCAAACCACAGCGGCCATGTTTGTTTCTCCTGGCTGTGTTCCTGCAGGCCGACCACCCAGCAGGAGAAGAGGGGTGTTTAACAAACCATACAACACTCACACACAAACATTCATTAAATACACAAACATTATGAATGTGTATTAGCCTGATAGGATCTACAGAAGCAGAAGCAGTGAGTCTCTGCGGCTCAGAGATGGACAGTGAATATCCAGAGTGAAGGCTAGGAGCAGGAAGAGGTGTGGTCAGAAATTTGAGGTGGAGTTTTGGTCTAACACCCATGGTGGTGCAGATTTGATTGACAGCTCTATGCCTGGGGGGGCTGGATCAGTATGAGCCGATCAGTGTTAGGCAGCACCTGGAAGGATAAAACAGGATTCAGATTCAGCTTGGTGGAGGTGATCCTTAAAGCAGACCGCCCCTTTAGTAGAAATCCTCTTTGTTACTTGCTGGATGGAGTCTTCATGTTTTCTTTCCTCATAGTTTCACTCTCATTATCCTCCAAACCCACATTAAAGGTCCATCCAATCACTAATAATCTAAACCCACACCCCAACTGCCTGAGGGAAGGGCAGGCCATGCTCATCCTACCTTTATCTGTCCATGCGTGTTTATATGTGTTTTTATATTCGAGTTTGTCCACTTCATCCTATAACCTGTCTTTTCTCATCCTCTCTCCTCCATTTCTGTCTTCATTTAGACTTTTTTTAAACATCCTGCATGAGACTCTTGATCATTTTCATTCAGTGTTAAAGATCCTCCAGCATGACAAAGCTAGAGTTAGTTATATTCTTAAATAGTCGAACTTTATGTGATGTATGTGTGTTTGAATAAACTCTCCTGTCTCTCAGATTGTAATCGGCGAGTGTTTCAGGATCAGTCAGCTTCATGAAGGAACAAAGTCTTTCATCGGGAATCCCTACGTGGCAGCGCTCTACAAACAGGTCAGCTCTTCCTCTGTTTTTACGTGTTTCTAAATATAGACACACGGCCCTGTCAAAATAATCTGAAATACAAGCTTATTGTGAAATCATAGCATGTCTGACTGCTTTTTGCTAGTTAAGCGCTGCACATTCTGGGCACAAAGTGAGGCACAAACCAATCAGTGTGTCTGCTCTCAATTCCCTTTAAGAGTCAGATCATCTTGTAGAAAAGGGTGTTACTATTTACACAGCTGATTTAAATCTTTCTACTTAAATACTCTGCTCTCAAGCTATGCTATTTAACACACACACACACACACACACACACACACACACACACACACACACACACTCATTAACTAACATGCTGTGTGCTTTAACATCAAAGAAAGACAGGCTATAAAACTTTAGTGACAGATTTTTTCCCCTGCTGGTTCAATTAATTGTGCTTCGTAGAGAGTGAACAGCTGATTTTGTTTAGTCTTTGTTATTACAAGTAGACTTAATGGTTCATGACATTTAATGTCAGCAGTGACTAGAATTTTATTAAAATAAAAACACCCTTTCAGTTGTGTGTGTTTGTCTTAAAGTGTATTTCTGCGCGTATATTTGAAAGTGCACATGATGGAGAGCATGGTGATATCTCGATCTGGAGTATTCAGCTGGTGCAGGATTGAGGAGAAGCTGGTGTGTAAAGAGATAATGAAGAGGGTGTCGTGCAATAAAACAGGGAGAGAAACTTAATACAGACAACTGGAAGATTTAATAACCAAAAGTCCAAAATAATAACAAAAACTAAAACCTAAAATCCAACTAAAAAAACAAAAACAAAAAACCCTGAGGAAAACTAAGAAGGTACCTAGAGAAGAAAAAAAAATCAATAGCAACATGACCAGAAACTCTGAAACAGAGGGAAGACAACACAATAAACCAACAAACAGGAAGGGAAAAACAGAGACTAAGTACATGCTGAATAATTAAATACAGGTGTGAGAATAGGACACAGATGAGAACAATAAGGAGCAATCAAACTGCAGGGAAAGTACAAGAAGTATAACCAGATCTGAACAAGGGAGAGGACTTTGAATCTCAACCAGGAAACACTGAGAGCATGGGTACTGACTCACAACACAGCACTGGGACTAAGAGGACAAAACTAAAATACTAATTCAAGAAAAGCTCATGACAGGAGGTGGGACAGGACATAAAACACAAACCCCTCATTTGGTTCTGATCCTGCAGATGGGCGTGTTCCTGTTTGGCTGTGCCGTCAGCCAGTCCTTCACCGACATTGCCAAGGTGTCTGTGGGTCGCATGAGGCCTCACTTCTTAGACGTGTGTAAACCAGACTTCTCCACTATCGACTGCTCCCAGGGTTACATCACCAACTACAACTGCACAGGTGACGAGAGTGACGTGCAGGAGGCCAGGTGAGCGGCAACAACTCCAACAACAATGGAGGATGCAGGATGTTATCAACACAGTATCAGTATCTGCAGATTTTATTTTATAAAGTTCATTTTCAGCATTGATAAATATCTTAAAATATATACTTATGTGTAACTTAAGTGTCTGTACTATCAGCCAAAAGGATTCTGAAAATATCGACATGTTAGATCATATCCACAAAGATCATCACAGGTTTGAGATCATCAACAAAAACTGACCACAGGCTCTTCTCTATCCTCGCAGGAAATCCTTCTTCTCAGGACACGCATCTTTCTCTATGTTCACCATGCTGTACCTGGCTGTAAGTACCACACACACACACACACACACACACACACACAATCACACACACACACACACACACACACACACACACACACACACACACACACACACACACACACACACACACACACACACACACATTTTGTATCTACAGATATTTCATGCTTCATACAGTCTAACCCCACCCAGCAGCAGCCCTCTTCTCCCCTGTCTCTCTGAGGATGAGGAGGTGGGTCAGGATCCAGGGTCTAGCTCCGTTGCTTGGTGGTCTCGTCCTCTTGGTGGGCTGACTGTTGAGGTGACAGTGGCATGCAGGGAGAGTTTCCTGTGGGTGTTTCCCAGCCTCTTAGTGACCCTTCAGCTCCAGAGCAGAGAGGGAAAGATGAGTAGCATCCAGACCACAGAGTCACTCACTGGACCCAGAACAAATCCAGCTGTGGTCAGGTCCAGACCAGAGCCAGTGGAGGCAGGAACACAGGGAGAGAGAGGAGAAGGAGGAGGAGGAAGAGGAGGAATGTAGTTTTATGAAGGATGTTTTGAACAGAAGGTGTGGGAGATGATCCCTCCTTTTTTCTCTCCTCCTCTCTGTGAGGCTTCCTGCTGAAAGAAGAATGTGTGGTGTTTTTGTTTTCGTCGACTGGAAGTGGTCACATGACTCGATGTTTTGACTCACTGAAAATTTCCTCTCTGCTGAGGAGTCCTTATTTGTGGCCTTAAATACATCCTTCAGTACGTCCTCATCAGTCTCTCTGTGTCCTACATAAGAGCTGACCGTGAAACCTGGAGACAGATCAATATGGCCTGAGTCTGTTAGTAACAGCATGTGAAGATGAGAAGCTTTCCTCATCATCGATATCTTCATCAGGAGAGGCAGAGGCATTGATCTCCTCATCTTAACTCCATTAAGAATAAATGTACTTCCTGAAATGTCAGATTGTTCCTTTAATTGATGGATCTCTCCTTTGAATTATTATTGACTGACACTAAAGGAATCAATGAGGAACCTTTCAGAAGAGACCCCTACAGAAACACAGAGTACTACTGCAGTTTGCCCTCTGGACATTTTGCTGTTTGAGAGGGTTGATTTGGTGGATGATATGTGAAAACTTCCAGCCCCTCATAACCGCAAGCTGACCCCGCCAACTTTTTCTTTCTTTAACAGCTGTTCCATGACTTGGATCTTAAAGTAAATGTCTTCACCTGCTGCACTAACCTTTTTGCCCGGTCTCTTCTTGAAAGGAAAGAAATGTTTGCTTTAGTCCAAAGTGCTGCAACTACGTTAGTTCCTGGGCAGACAGTTAGTGCGAGGAACACTCTCTAACCTTTCAACAGTGTTGTAGTACTCAAGCACTCGATGACTCGGACTTGTACTGGAACTTGTACTGGGACTCGATCAGGATTCAGGAGAAAGAGAGGAGAGGTCTATCATGCAGACAGTAGAGTGGGACCACAGAGAAGACAGCAGCTTCACTGGAAACAAAACAAACACAGAAACAAAGCAGACACAGAGGTTTGGGTTTAGAGAACTGAACTCTGTCTGTGGCTTCAAAATAAAATCCATATTTTAATATGGCTACACTGCTGTGATGGTCTGTGATTAGCAGATAAATGACAGACCTGAGATCAGCTCAGGGAAACAGACGCTTACTAAAACCGTCTGTTTGTTCTCTAAAACCACAGACAGAAATGGATGCTGTGGTTTGTTCCTCTGTTCTTTGTTTGTCACTCAGCATGGAGGAAGATTCACGTCCATCTTTATCTAAGAAAACAACTTCACACCCTCACCCCCGCTTCAGCCACCTCACCCTCCTATCTGCGGGTTAACGGAGTGTGATTTTACTGCTCTTCATTTCCTGCTGAGCATGTCAGACAGTCTTGAGGTTACAGCCTCAGATCACACACTGATAACACACACTGCCACACAAAGGACGGTGTCCTGGTGGCGGGGTCTCTGTGTTTTATATTCCTGTGTAGAGTCTGCCTGCTGTTTGTCATTACTGCAGCATGTTTGTTGGTGAAGCACTGTATCTAACCACAGCTATGCCTCGGTCTCACACTCTCAGCGTTGTGTGTAACAAAGGGGGGGTTGATGGCGTGTAAGCTGGTTCTGGTTGGTGTGTAACAGAGGAGGGGGGATTGTGTGTAAACTCATTCTTGTTGTGGATCTTTCTCACTCTGTTGTGTTTCTTCTCTCTCTCTGGGAGTCAGAGACAGACTGAGTGGATCTGTCAGAGATGAGTTGGATTCCAGCAGAAACCACCAGACTCTGTGTCGCTGTGTCTCTGTCCATCATGGGAATCAGTCAGGCTCTGTTGTTGCCATTATTGTTGTTGTATCTTATTGTTGTGCTCCTCTGATCTTATTGTTCGTGACTCTCATTGTGTTTGTTTGTGGGAGCACAGCAAGAGGCAGATGAACTCAGAAATCAGTGTGAGTAGAGATCTTGGTTTGCTTTGCCTGTCGGTGAGTTGGCTCAGAGTTGGTCGGGTTATTTGGGTTTATTCTGGGTTGGTTAGCAGGTGATCATGGATGTTTTGGCTGACAGTGCGGGACAGACTATCTGATCTGTCTGAGCTGGATCACCCTGAGAGGTTTAGGGCTTCAGTCCATGGAGTCTTTACATCTGTGAGAAAACATCAGTGTAAGGAGATAATGTGTAGCGTTGTGTACGATCTTATCTGGTTACTATTTCACCTGTAACCCCCCAAAAAATTAGATGCTGGGTAACTAGGGATAAAAACAGAATTTAATTGTTTGCAAATCATTATGAGTCTGTATTTTACGTTACAATATGATACAATATGATACGATACGACACGATGCAACACGATACAACACGACATTATCTGATCTGATACGATACAATAAATGATACGATACAATACGATATATGATATGATACGATACGATACTTTATTGTCCCCTTAGGGAAATTGCGTCTTGGACTCCAAGAGCTGCACAAACAAAGCTGCCAACTGATGACACAAAGTACTAGACCTAACAAAGACACAGTCACACAACCCAAGCACATTGCAATACCCATATTGCACAAGAATCCCACAGAAATGGTCAAAAGAAACCCACCGACATTAGACAACAATGACAAAGACCAAGACACAGCAAGGCAAGACAAGATAAACAAGACCAAAAACAACATGATAATATACCAAGATAGCACCATGACATTATTGCACAATCTGGCTAAGTTTTAGGAAATGTTATTGTGAAACCTAATTGAGGTGGGCATGAATGAGTTTTTAAAACAGTTCAGTCTACATTCAGGGACATTTTGATCCATTGACCACAGGATGGTTTTCCTCTTCTCTAAGCCTGAACCCATTAAGGATGGGCTAAAGGGGGAGTGAAAAACTGCACTGTGATTATCTGAGCAATTTAGATATGACATTTTTTTGGAAATCATTGACACCTCATCCCCTGCTCTGAAAAGAAACAGCCTCTAAACTCTTATGTAAAGTGGTCGTATTTCTTTGATTTTTATGTCACTGTGTTGGAGATTTCTGCTGCCACTGCTCAGTCTGACGGCTATAGGAACGTCTGTGTAAGATGATCTGTAAAATACAACAAACACAGTGACTTTTCAAACAGCTACTGAGATCCATCTTGTTTCCTCTGCGGGACACTCAATTAGAATGTTTTCTTGGTTGTTGCATCATGTCTGTAGACTTCAGACTGAACAACTCATCAGTGGTCCTGGATCACTACCTGAGAACCACCTCAGAGGAAACTGGAACCCCAAACATCCCTGAGAGGTGGATGGGATGGGAGGGATCACTTCCTGTGTTTCGGTAAAGAAAAGAACAATGACGGCATCTCGTAAAGGAAGTGCGATGGAGCGTTGGGTCCATGCATACAGGCTGGTGGTGGGCGGGGCAGAGGGAGTAACTGAGGCCATCTGTAGGTATTGTTAGAGCGCTGATTATAAGAGCAGCGTCTGGAGGTTTGGGCGGGGCAGAGCTCGCCCTCGCTCTCTGGGTGAGAGAGACAGGAAGTTAAGGGTACGAGCAGGCAGGAACACAGGAAGTCTGGGCTGGTTTCCCCGCTGCACGAGTGTGTATGTGTGTGTGTGTATATGTGTGTAATAAGACAGATGTTCAGGTGGCTCTCAGACAGACCTTGGACTCACTCATTCCTGTTTTGGCTCGTCTCAGTTTTTATCTCGACTGGAGATGTTTCAGCAGCTACCCTGACTTTATTCAGAGGAAAGAGAGTTTACACACACAGACATACACACACACACACACACACAGATGAAGGACACAGTATGCACACACTCATCTGTGTTTGAGTGTCTGTGGTCTGCTGTTGTTTCAGCTGGGATGTTGAACCATGAATCCGTCATGTTTGGGTCTCAGGCTGTTCAGTGTGTGTGTGTGTGTGTGTGTGTGTGTGTGTGTGTGTGTGTGTGTGTGTGTGTGTGTGTGTGTCAGATGTGGAAAAGAAAGTGTGTCTCTGTGGTTCTGGTTGGGCTGAACTCTTTGATTCAGTCTGGACCAAGCTGGCACCAATAACACACACACTCACTCACAGCTAGCTAGTGAGAGTTTGAAAGGATGAGACCACATTATCACTCTTGTTCACGTTTCATCATATTTACTGATAAATTTTGCGTCATTTCCATCCTCTCTTCACAGTTTTACCTGCAGTCCAGGTTCACCTGGCGTGGTGCTCGTTTGCTCCGCCCACTGCTCCAGTTCACCCTGCTGATGATGGCGTTTTACACCGGCCTGTCCCGTGTCTCCGACCACAAACACCACCCGACTGATGTGCTTGCCGGCTTCGTACAGGGCGCCCTGGTGGCCTACTGCATAGTAAGTACACACACACACATAAATACTACATTCTGACACAGCAGCTCTCAGACACTCAGGATGGGGGTTTGTTTTCCACTCTGTGTGAACTAGGTGTAATCTTTCTATGGGCACCCCTGATCCTTTTTTTATCAATGCTGAGGTTGACCATTCTTTCAGCATGCACAACAGGTCAATGCATGAGCACCTGTCTGCACTGTAAAGCTTCATATGTACTTCTGCATCAAACCTATGCTGCAACACATACTGTAGGTCTGTTTCGCCTCCTCTTTGCAGAGGCCTGTGCATTAACCCTACATGCAACCTCCATGAAATCCAAGTTCCTTATCTAATCCGCAAATCGGAGAGAGTTAGAGCTAGATCTGGTCTGGAGTAGATTCTCAAAGATGGAGATTGTTTTGATTTTAAAACTCAGTTTTGTAGTTTCACTGTGACTGAAGCTCCTTGGCTCTTTCCTCCTCCTCTTTTCTCCGAGGAGCTGAAGCATGAGGAACTCTGATTCCCTGTAATGAAGAACACATTTTATGGAGACGGCTCTGCTTCACCGCTGTGTGTGTGTGTGTATTTGTGTGTTTAAGTGTGTCTTAAAGTGTGTTTAAGTGTGCGTGTAAGTTTGAGTTAAAGTGTGTGTGCGTGAGTGTGCCTTCACTGCTCTTATGACACACTGTTGCGGAGTTTGCCAGATGATTTTCGTAACCCTCATCATCACACTGAGCTGGACAGAGCCGAGGAAAACAGAATCCAGGTCAGGAGGAAAATGGAGGCGGTGTGAAGAAAGAGAGAGGAAAAAGAGAGAGAGAAAAAGAAAGAGAGAGAGTAAAGAAGGTAGAGAGGGGGCAATCCTTTGAGGGAGGAATGAGTCTGTTCATTATTTGAGGTTTTTTATTTGGCGGCTCTGGTTCTATCAGCTCAGCAGGACGCCACTACACTCTGCTGCCTCCGGGAAAGAGCAGTGAAAACACACACACACACACGCACGGGCACACAAACACACACATACACACACACCCTTACCTTTCTACCAAATCATGACTGTGGAAAGGATTACATTCATAAAATTCAGGATCTTTGTGGCGCCTACACAGACTTGGCACAGCTAAAAACACACACATACTGAAATCACACACACACACACACACAGCAGGATTGTAGAAGAACTAAATTTGAGCAGAAATCAAAAACAGTCTGTAAAGCCATCTGGTTGTCTCTCCTGGATGGCATCAACTCTGACAAGAAAATGAAAAATTAGACTTTCAGAAATGAGCTGGACCTCAGTGAGAGGGAGAAAGTGGGAGGAGGAGAGAGAGGAGAGAGGAGCCTTGTCTGTGTGCTGGCTTGGGATGAGCGTGGGTTTCAATCCAGTTTAGCAATTCCACAAACCTCAGAGAGAGCACCACACAGTTCTCATACTGTAACACAAACACAGTCAGAGGGAGATCCTGCTGATCGGGATGGTGGGTTTAGTTTTACAGTCTCTCTTCTCTCCTGATGGTGTCTGTCTGATTGAAACATGTGTGACGACTCTAGCTGTTAGCTTAAATTTTTAGCTTTAAGCTGTGAGTGAGTTTGCGAGATTAGTCGTCTAAAACTCTCAGAAAAAGAAATTAGAGTGGACATCTTTAGATCTGAGGACATCTTTGAATCAATATTCAGGCTCTCTCTTGTTCTTTTAATTTCAGAATAAAAGCTCCAGCTTTTGGAATAACATCAGCCATGTGTACACACAGAAAACACCTGCCTCCTCCCGCTCCTCTCCCTGCTCTCCTCTCTCTATATGATCATAACTGAAATTGAATACCCAGGTCTAGTACTTGCTTTAAAAAATTGAGTATATTAATGAATCCATGTTTTCAGACCATGCATATATCTTCTGTTTGGATAACTAAAAACCTCAGTGTTAGATTTTCACATCAGTCCAGAGTGATTGTGAGTGACTGTTCCTGATATCTCAGTGAGTCAGCCTGTGGAAAAGACTCTTCTGCTCAGATGGATTCAGTCTCTGTCTCTGCTGAGAGGTTTACTGTTTCAGGAGTTAATTGTTGCTCATAATCCAAGTTTCCCAGAGTTCAGTTGGATCTGTAATCCCAGAGGAGACTGCTGGTAAATAAGGGTCATCATCTCAGAGAAGGACGGTCAGCAGAGGAGCTGCTGAGACTCTGAGCTTCTGTCTGTGTGGTCTGAGAGGTCACCTGATATCACCATAAACACATAAATCAACAGCACATAACACTCACAGCATTATTTTAATGATTTCAGAGAAACATGGTGATAAATTAGACAGAAGCTCTCCAAATTCTGAGAACACATACTTCCTCTGACCCACTTCAGTCTGAAGATGTACCACTGATATAAAGTGTGGTTGGACTGCATTCATATTTGGTTTTATGTGCGTGCAAACTCTTCCATAGAGTTATTCTTTGACATGCACGCTTTCTGAAAGTTAGTACACCCACTTCCTGTGTGACTCAACGTCTTTATGGACCACCCTGTCACACTGTGGATTAAACTCGAGTGACGCTCACTGATGACTAAGGTTCTCCGTGCGTAGGTGAAAAGATCAGATAAGGTGACAGGTGTCAGGACAAACACCCTCAGAAACAGGACCAACATATCATCATGGTTCTGAAACACAGGAGTGATTGTAGTCCACTCCATCGATGAGATAAACCAAAGTTTCATTTACCAGCAAGAAAACAAGACATTTCATCAAAGTCCCTGACACAATAAGTGTTTATATCATCATGCGTAGAGACCACTCCATCACCTCCATGAGGTCCAACCTGCTGCGCTGATGGAGAGAGAAAACCTGTAATCATTACCCAGTGTTTCTAAACATGCAGGGCTGGAGCTGTCTGAACTTTTCATTGTATGTTATATTTGTTGATAATGGGTGTATGTTTAGTCATGGCAACCCTGCATTAAACGATGAACAGTGTTTAAACTGTCTCGATGTTGGAGGGTTTAGAAGTCCGGTCCACTTTGTTACTCTGAGGATGTTACTCAGCGTGACGGAGCAGAGTGTTAGTGTGTGAGGCCATGGGGTAGAATAAAGGCCTGATGTGTCAGACATTTTAATGGTACTTAACACGCACATGAACACACACACACACATACGCCTTTAACGGCTCTGCTGAGTCTGCATGGCTCCACACTGAGGCTCGGGCATATGCGTGTGACAGGAAGTGGTGAGGTCGTGATAAGCAGCCCGCCGCCACAGGTTCAGGGGTGATAGGTTGGAGGGTGGGTGACACGGCAGCATGGCTTGTTATGATTGGACAAGGACCCATCCTGTTGGGGAACAAGCTGGGTTATTTCCCATGACGGCTCGGGCGATTCCCATTGCTATGACTTCTCATCACGACCTCTAATTATATCACGGTGTGTAATAATGTACTGACTAATACACACACTGGGCTGTATGTGCTGCAGTATGATGTCATCTGTCAGTCAAAGGTCAGCAGTGGTCAAGGTCAGGAAATGTCAGCCTGTAGGAGCAGAGAGAGTCTTTGTGTGAGTCCCTCGCTCTTTATGAGACGCTCTTTGTTACAAAGAGTGTAGGACGGATGTTTTTAGAGATAACCACAGAAGAAGAGAGCGGGGACGTACATTACTTTAATGCATTTACCCTCAGGACCTTCCTGTACAAAAGCATCATGTATTATATTTAATGTTAGTTATTAATGTGTTTCTGGGCCCCACTTAGAAGAGGGGGAGTAAGGAACCCTGAGGAGGAGCTTAGAGAGGAAAAACTGCTGAGTCTGCCAATGACGTTTCCATGGCTCCACTTCCCCACCCTCCACGTCTCTGTCTTCCTGTTTAACACATGATGTCATGACCATCTCAGGAAGGGACTTTTCATTCTCTCTGTTTGTCTGCCGCTTTCTTGTCGCAAGGCTGAGCTCAGAGCTGATGTAAACTTAAAGTTCACCCTCTCACACTTGAACAGAGGATTACTCTCACCATGATGTAATGTAATATGCCCATTAATTCTGTCAGCAGCTCACAGCTGCTCCAAAACAGAGTCTAAAAGCATTTACACTCTGTTTAACTATGAAAACACTCCAGTGAGTAACACCACTGTTGTCTAAAGGAATTAACTTATATTTGGTGGTATGACTCTGTTCTCAGAGCCCTCTGCCCTCTCACTTGAGTATGTAGAGGGGTGAAGTTTGAGGCTGGGTGGGCACACTTCCCCTTTGTATGTGTATACATGTCATCTCAATAATGTAATGAAATTAAAATATTTGCTGCAAAATCATTGAAAAACCTGCTCTATACACACCCCCCACTTTTACTTTAATGTAGGATTCTTGCTTGATGTTGTATTTACTGCACTTTTGTATTAATGTGAAAGCTTGAGGCAGGGAGAGCAGCAGCAAAGACACTAGGCTTCTGTTAAGAGAGTTCTCTGCACTTACATATGCATATCTGGGATGCTAAATCCTAAGATGGGGAAAGCACACGTCTTCTCTGTGTCTTACATGAAAAGCTGAGGCAGGAAGTGCAGCAGCAAAATTAGATTTTCTAACATATTGAAAAACAAATATCCAGTGCAGTCTCAGAGCTGCAGAAGAGAAAAACACTGGTCCCTGAAAGCATCTACTCACTTGTCTCCGGCCCCTTGTTTCATACATAAAAAGACAAAGCAGGCAGAGCAGCAGGAAGTTTAATATGTGCTTACATTTGATTGTTTCATCATAAAAAAACAATCCCTGAGCTGAAACACAGGCACACAGTGGGAATGTGTTGGATGTTTCCACCTGTGCTGCAGGCTGAGCAGCAGCAAATTTAACCTGTGATGTTTAGCCGTTATGTTTACATTTTAGCTGAAACACAGACACAGTGGTAATTTGAAGCATGTTTTTCACCTGGGCCTCTTTCTCTGTTTCCTCCAGGTGTTCTACGTGTCGGACCTTTTCAAACCACGAGTGAAGCCAGCCACACCCCCGCCCTCCCCCATCAAGAAGGAGCTGCTTCCCTCATCGGAAATCATCGAGAGGAACAACCACCACAACATGGTGTGAGACAGAGGGACAGAGGCGCCACTTCTTCCTGTGACTGAGCAGCCAATCACAGTGCGGCTCACCTCCCATCAGACAGTAGAATGTAGCGACTGACGAGAGACTGAAGCTGTCTCTCAAACTGCATCCTCCCCCCCCCCTGAGGAGGGTGTGGGGTTTGAGACCTGCACAGCAGAGTCCACTCTCAATATCCAGACTTCTTATTTACTACTTTGTAAACTACTAATCCACCATGAGCCCAACACTCTGAGCACAAACACACAGAATCAGAAGCTAAAGACAAAATAAATGTATGACCTGACAGGCAGAGCTAAGGGGTAGGAGGTTTGACCACCCACATGAAGAAGAAAAAGAAGAAGAAGAAATGAAGAGACAGAAAAAGAAACAAAAAGACTGACCCCTGCTGAGGGAGAGAGGACGATCCTCTCTGAACTCTGTGGCCTTGGATCTCTGAAGGACAACAACTTCCTCTGCTTCGGGAAGGAGATTACTGCAGTAACACGCAGCGTAGAAATATTTACAGTATAGAAATATAACTTATAGCACTGTTTTTAACTTCTTTGTCCATTATCACCACTCGCTGCTTCAGACGTTACACTGCGGGACAGCTCGATGATGCCTACAGGAGACAGAGTCCAACAATCCTGCAGCAGTTCAAAACCCTGCTGGTGTGTTCAGACCAAACATGAAGCAGATACAGTCTTCGTTTCACATGAACCAGAATAATACAGGTTTATTCATACGGGTTAAACACAAACAAAATTTGGCCTGTCTGACATCATCCTGAGTCTCTCTCAGATAGGCTTATGTCTTTCTGCTCCATAACCTGTGTCTGAATGACTTTAATATGCCAGTCAGATTTGTCATCTGAACCCCTGAATTTGTAATTTTCTCAGGAACTCAGATTAACCTGGAGCATGATATCCCAGGTGGCTGCTCCCTTCAACTTTTATCCAAATTCATTAGCAATTTGGTGTGGTTCAACAAATCTATTTTATGAATAGATTTTGGCTAGATCTTTTGTTGACGCTCCCACTGGAGTCTTTGATACCCTGGTACCCTCTGATACACTTCTGCCTTGATTCAATTTGACCAGTCTTTTTTTTCTAGTATTTCGAGTGGCTCATCCAGCCCTATCATCACAGTATTGCCTTCGTTGACAAACACTTTGAAGGAGGATCTGCTCAGCTTTAGTCTGAACTCACCTGAAAGATGATGCACAGATGGGAAAGGTGTCAGAGCAGGTATTCAGGTGTTTCTGTGTGGCCTCAGTGAGTGTCCTCTCACACTTCTCTGTCTCCTCGTCAGCTCATCAGCTCTCTGCAGTGCACTCTGAGTGCAGCCCAAACCCGGGGCGTTGCATTTGTTAAAGGGGTAGATGTAGTGGGGTGGGGGTTTTTGGGGAGGGCGGGGGTTACCTGTGGAGAGGGAGGGGCAGACCTCACAACCCACAGCACCTGAGTGAGAGGCGTGGCTGTGCCATGTCCTCTTCTGGTGTTAGTGCCACCTGCCAGGCTTTCTGAATGGGAAGTGGGCGGGGTCAGATGGGGGTGTGGCCTGTCACTCAGGAAAGAGGGTAAAGATTTACCGCCAAGCTGGCACATTATGTTGGGATGATGTGAGCTCTTTCTGCAGGCAGGGGGGGTTCACAGCCACCCAGTCACTCAATGGAGACTCAAAGTGTGTCAGTGTGTGTTTGTGTTTGTGTGTGTCCTGTATGATTGTGTTTGTTCATATACATCGTGTGTGAACATGTGTTTTCATATGTATGAATACACACTGTGCCCTGTGAAAAAGGAACTCCCTCATTACAAACTGTGTGTCTGTCAGCTGTGCCAATGTATGTGTGTGTGTGGATATTCTCTAACCTGTGGATCTCTCTCACCTATGTTTGTGTGTGTATCTCTGACTTGTATGTGTGTATTTGTGTGTATCTTTCACCTGTGTGAGTGTGTATTGTAGAAGTAACAGCTGTTCCAACTCTCTCTCTCTCCCTCTCTCCTCCATTGTCACTCGGCCATGTTGCACATCTTTTCTCCTCGTATAGTCCGTCCTCTCATTTCACTCAGCGTTTTCACTCTCTTTTTATAAATATATAAATATGTATAGATCACTAAAGTAAACTGTGTAAGATATTGTGATATTAACATGTTTAGGTATATCCACTCTGATACAGACCTGTGTTCTTATAAAAATGCTGCTTTTAAAGCATCCTTTGACAGATTTTTGTATCTAGAAAACTAAACTATTGTAGATGGTAATAGTTACGTTTGTTATATGCATTCAAAAATAAAGATTCATATACAGTTGTATTAAGATTCAATATTAGTATTTTTGTATTGTCTTGTTTTTTGTACAAAGATATAGTTGCAATGCTGTTTTTTCTGCTAAATGTACCTAGCTCTAATACATGTGCTTTAAATAAAAAGATAAATATAAAGACGGCTTTGGTTTGTCTTGTGCTATAAATGCCGCACGCTACACACAAGTTCAGTCAGAAAAACTTCGGTCAAAGAGACTGATCATTTCAGGCATTTCCTCATATTTTGAAACTTCCCCACCTTTCATGCATATGTAGGATGGTGACATGGCTGCAATAAAAAAATACTATAATCATTTTAAGATTAAAAATCATTATTTGATGAAACTAAATTATGAATGATTTAAGTAGAATGAGGTTTACTTGCATGGTAGGAATCTGAAGGTTTCCTGTGAAAACGAAAAAGAGGACACAGGAGGAGTAGGCAAGCTAAAGACATTTATCTAACTAGAACAAACATTTTCACATTCATAAGTGGATGGTAGAAGGTAACCCCAGCTGGTCCTAAGATCAGCCAATGTACTGTAGGCTGTGCTTGGCTTTGTGGCCTGCCTGAACTTACACTATGCTTAATGTTTAAATGGGTGTTATGAATTTTATCACTTTGTAGCTGTATTCACACATGCGCTAAAATCCTGTAAATTTCTGGAAAGTTCCAGGGTGAGCATCATATGTGAATATAAACAGCTGAAATTTTTGCATTGACTTTATTTTTTCAATATTTTCAATTTCAAACTACTTTTTATCTCTCAAACAAACCGTCACATTTTAATCACATGTAAATGATTGCATGTGTAAATGAAGCACCTAAGTATTGATACACAGAAAGGGTACAAATTGACAGAAACCAAGTAGCTAAATATAATGAATCTATTCAAATCAGTTCTATCTGTTCCATTTCTTTTCGGTGAGCATTTTGATAATAACACCATTTCCCTCAAATAAATCCATAAATCCTCTCAGATTATCTTTGTTTCTGTGGGACTGGATCTGTTCAGTCTTTAAAATACTCTGATCCTCTCTGCGGGATAGAAAAGCTCCTCATGTCTCATAAACACTCAACACTCACCTGAAAGTTGCCTGTCTCACAAAGTGAGTGGGTTTTAAAGTGAGTAGGTTTGTGGTACTGTTCAATTTTATATCTATGCAAGCATCTTAGTTCATGTTCATAATATATATATATATATATATATATATATATATAACAATCTACTTATCTATTTCAGATGTTCTTATAGAAAAAAATGTCATGTTTAAGTCAATATGGAAATGAAATTTAGAGAGCATCTTATCAGTGCTGCTCACATGTGATGGCTGAGCTGATAAAAGCAGAAACACACACTGCTAAAATGGACTGAGACCTCACCCTATTTTAGATCCTCTGTCAGAAATAACACGTAAAATACAAATGTGAGAGACGGTCAGAAGTGTGTGTGAGGATTCACACTCTGTCAGACTACAGACTGACAGAGCTGCTGTGTGTGTGTGTGTGTGTGTGTGTGTGTGTGTGTGTGTGTGTGTGTGTGTGTGTGTGTGTGTGTGTGTGTGTGTGTGTGTGTGTGTGTTAAAGGTGGCTGTGACTCTGAAGTGTCATTTCCTCCACCACACAGAGTTTAAAAGAGAAGTCGGAACGTGGTGTCAGCCTGTCACAGCGGGTTTTATTTAAATGAGTGAGTGAGGACTTATACAGAGACTCACACAGTCAAATATCAGCCTGAAGCAAGCTCATGGAAACTCATATATCATAAGTGTCCCTATAAATACACAACAGGCATGACTGCAGCTTTAAAAGGATCTCCACATGTATATCGTCACATGTTTGACTGTATGTATGTATAAATACACGGTGTGAATGACTGTGTGGAAAACATACTGCACACGTCTATGTGTAAAAAAGAAGCATCTTTAAAAATCAACAGTGATAGTTGATTTGAAATGTGTCTGTTTGTGGTGTTTATTGAAATAATACGCAAAGAAAATGGGACTGTCTAATCATCAGGGTTTAGTTATTGATGGGGTCACCTCTGTCCTAAACCACTGGTGTCATGCTACAGATACATTACCCCATAAAATTTGAGTCCTTGCATTCATGTGTTGGATCATTAAACCAGTGAGGAAGGAGGGAAGCAAGGAAGGGATGGATTGGCTGAACTGTATATCAAACAGATTGGACAGATTTTTGTGATTTTTTTTTTTTAAATTTAGTTAAAAACCTTCAAGATTTCGATTTCTGAGTCTCCCGCTGACATGGATCATGATGTACTACACCTTACCTGAGCAGCAGTCTTCAAACCCCTCTGGTGGTAGCCTGACATCAGCTCTGCAGTCTATGGCAGAGACCCTCCACTGAAACTCTTTCATTTAGTCATTAAGATTGATTTTGCAGGGGAGGGTCCACTTTTCTGGCTCTCTGTCCTGGCTTTGTAGAACAAACTTTCACATGCGTTTGTCTGTTTTTTGTTATTTCTTTCCCAAAACAATGAATCCCAGACCTTTTGGGTTTTCTCATGCTTAAGACAAAATAAATCATTGCTGCTTTGTTCTCATTTGTTGAAAGGATTAATGATCTTTAATCTAAAATCTACATCATCCAAAAGAACCCTGATTCATTCTCAAACCAGGTTCATGCCATGATGTTGCTTCATAATGTTCCTGCATGATCTCCATCAATCTGCCATTAAATACAATTACAATGAGTGTAAAAATGATGTTTGATCAGAGAACTGAAGAAATACTTCAACTCTTTCTTCCATTAAACTCCAATCTGATCATTAATTAAATCTGATTTGGTGTTTATAAGAGTCATTTTTATTCCCAATGGGCCATTTTTCTCATTTTTACCTGATTAGAAATGTTCATCTCAACTTTTTTACTCTTAATAAACTCCAGACACAGCTGCACCACGATGAAATCTAACCTCTGAGTTTACTACACAGAATAATCAGACAAACCTGACTCAATGTCACAGTCATTCAAATACGACAAGAGAAACATACAGTTATGAACATTATACAGCATAATCAAAACTATGCAGTCAACACTCAAAAGGAAATCCAAATCCATGATTTTTCAAGTCTCTCTCTTTACTAAGAGCCACTTTACATTATTGGTTGAGAGTCAAAAACAGTATGTCTATTTCCTGCCAACATGCAGACTAAAAGTAGGTCAACTCTGCAGAGGTGGAAGATGTTGTATTTGACAGTTTCTGCAGTAAAAACTTTATAAGAACATTAAATTTCTGTATTTCTGCTTATGCGTAAGGTTTCTCTTCCAAATCTATAAACATGGTTGATTTTGAAAATAAACAATTTCTCAGTGTTTCAATGATTCGTTTGGTCAAAAATGCACATAAAGAGTTTCACACAGAGTTCGTGTTGTGTTGCTTCAGCAGTGAAAGCTTTAAACGTGATTACAGGTTTAAACCTTTATATTTCTGCCATGCAAAAGAAAATCTATCATTTCATTACAAGTTAGTTTACTTTCTGTAAAGGAATTGAATGCTTTCAAAAAACCTGATGATTATCTGATTGAGTGTGAACATTGAGCAGACAGATGTTGTTGTCACAGTATTTAAAAAGTTTTCTCAGAGCCTGAGTGGTTCTTCCTCTGTAAACTGAAAGAGTAAAGTGGAGGTTCAACCCCTGATCTCCTGGCTGATGTTTTGGTTAAATTGTCATGCGTGTCCCCTCAACATCCTGCCAATGGGCCCCTTTTATTGATGGTGACAGTCCAGCTGCTCTGAGGTCAGCTGTAATGAAAACAGCTCCTCCCAGGTTCACGCTGCAGTAAGCAGCTGGCAGCTCTGGGCTCAGCCATGCGGAGCTGTAACCTTAGAGGCTCACCCACTAAGGCACGGCGAGGCACTCAGAGTCCTGTTGTGGTCGTGTTTGGCGGCAGAGGAGCTGGCACAGCACTCTCTCAGGGAGGCCAAGGCATGACATGGTGCTGTAGCTCTGTCAGCGAGCCGGGTGTGTGCCCTTCATCATTACGCTCTGTGCTCTTCATCAGCTCGCTCTGTTTGCTCTCACTCACTGCTCTCTGATATTTTCTTCAAATCAGCATCCAGAGCTGAGGAGCAGAGTCGGAGTGAGTTCTTGCTGGCGTGTGAGCGCTCATGAGCTCCATGCTGGTGACATTTTAACAGGACTGAGATGGATGACGTCCTCCTCTGAGGGCTCAGAAACGCCTCCACCCTCAGGCTCATTAAACTTTTGGATAAACTCAGAGGTATGAGGTGGTCATGTTAAAAACAAGCCAGTTTCTCCTCGGTTTACATTCTGGAGACCCACAGCTTCACCACACACCAAAGCAACACAAATATGTAACACAAGCCTGAGGCAGAGCTGACATGAGTGATGAAAATACAGAATCAGATGGAGAGAGTCAGCAGCAGGTTAACTCTGCTCTGTAGTTACAGATTCCTGTTTAATGACTGAGAAAAGCTTTGCTCTAGAAGAAGAAGTCCTGCACACTGAGACCATGTGTATCCACATGCTGCTAATAAATTAAGTGAAAGAGGACAGAGCCAGGACTACTCTGAAATATTCAATAAGTGTGTCAGCTGTGAGGATGCTGCAGAGGGACCTGGTGAGTGTGAAAGAGGAGTTTGAGTTTATATTTAACTCATATTCAGAGTGTGTAAAAGTGGTTTGACTCCGTCCCAGCCAGGCTGACTAACAGAGCACTCTTCTTGCCATGCAGAGCAGTGAGATGGCCCACTGGCACTCGTGATATAAAAAGCAGCTTAATGTAACAGGAGAGTGTCTGTAGCTGCTCAGGTGTGGAGCTGAGTGTGGTGAGGGTGGTTCCTGCAGCTCTGAGGAGCTTTTCTCTGCAGCACAGCCAGAAAGCAGAGAGGGAGGCTTGGGCACAGCTTCAGCTACCTCCAGGGCTGAGGAACCAAGCCAGCATGAAGGAGACACAGGGTGCTAAGGTGTGCATGCAGTTTCTCCAGTTTCCACTAAAGGCAGTGTCCTCTGATGAGTCCACATAGAGCCACAGAGATTCACAGGCATTTTAATAAGTCTGAGATGTTAGACATACAGGAAAAAGTGACACAGATAGATGACAAAGAGATGATTAGTTTTTATAATTCTTCCTGTTCTGTGTGTGACTAAGCGGATATTTGTAGGTAAATGGAGCAGGTTTTAGATAAATGAGTGGATCCTAAATTGACCCAGTATTTAGTGCATCTGCTGTATTATTTATGTATTATTTTTTGTATTATTGCTGCATTATTTCTTTATTAAAGCTGTATTATTGCTGTGTTATAACTATATTATTTCCATAAAATTGATGTATTTTTGCTGCTTTTTGCTGTACTATTGCTGTACTATTGCTAAATCATTGCAGTATTTTTGCTGTATTATTACTGAATCATTGCAGTATTTTTGCCATACTATTGCTGAATTATTGCTGTATTTTGCTGTACTTTTGCTATATTATATTGCTGAATCATTGCTTTATAATTGTATTATTGCTTTATTTTAGCTGTATTATTGCTGTATTTTTGCTGTACTTTTGCTATATTATATTGCTGAATTATTGCTTTATAATTGTATTATTGCTTTATTTTAGCTGTATTTTTGCTGTATTTTTGCTGAATCATTGCTGTATTTTTGCTGTACTTTTGCTGAATCATTGCTGTTTTTTTGCTGTACTTTTGCTTAATTATTTCTGTATTTTTATGTATATTTTGCTATGTCACTGCTGTACTTTTGCTGAGTTTTGATGCATTATTTCTGTATTAAAGTCAAATTGTTGCTGTATTGTTCCTGTTTTGTTGCTGTATTATTGTGACCTCATTGCTGTATTGTCATTGTATCAGTGATTAAAGTGAGGACTTTGTGGGTGCTACATGCTGTGATCGATAATAACATCATGCAGAGGCCACAGGAGGATTAATATGTGGATCACAGTCTGCTGTCTGTGCTGATGATCCTGCAGGAGGACACGGCTCTTTGTCTCACTCTGACTGATATCTAATTCTGGTATGAATGAGAATGAGTGTTAGAGTCAGAGATCAGTCTGAGGCTCACAGAGACAGACAGGATCAGATTAACCTCCTTCTCTGTTCTCATTTTAAAGTCTTCAGTTTTCTGTGTGAGGTATTCAGAGGCTTTAACCACGGTTACAATTACTCTATTTCCACCTGACTGACATGTCTGTAGACATCTGTCCTGACAAAAAAACACAAAATGATTTAAAGATGCTCATGCTCCACAGATGATTCATCTAAACAGCTCCTTAGTGACCCTCTGATTTTCATCTAGCGCCACCTGCAGATCAGAGTCAGAACTTGAGTCTCTTGTACAGTCTTTCTCTTTTGAAGCAACTTCTCCAGTCTTGGTTGATGATTTTTCTTGATGGTTGATCCTGAATGATCTGTGCTGTTGTGTGGTTCATATCTTGATGTTTTCTGGTGAAACCTCTGTGAACAGGGGATAAAAATTTAGACCCGGAGAGCGCCACCTTCAAGTCTACAGTTGCATTTGTCTGATATTTCAGTTTTTCACTGAATCACAACAAATATTCTAGCTGGCTTGTAACTCGAACTCAGATAGTTTGATCTTGACAAATAAATAAATTCTGCATACAGAATACAGAATACAGATACCACCAGCTCTCAGCAGACAGTTGAAATTCAAACTCAAAGTGTGCATGGATGTTTGCGTTGGGTTTTACATATGAGGTAAGTAGCAAATTTTGCATCATTTTAAAATGCCCAAACTGCACTGGTGCATAGATACACTGTATGTTCTACAGTGCAGTTTATTGTGCATTGAACTCTTTGTGTGAGTTTGATGAAGTAGACAGGGTTGGTGTGTCTCGCTTGCCCAGGTTAAAGGGTGAGTAAATCTTCAATAGATCCGGCTAGGATTTGCATGTTTATTCCACATGTTATTTTGTAAAAGTATCCCACCTAAAGTTGTCATCATCAATCAAAATGTACCACAGTATGAATAAAACAGTGTTGCTGCACATCTACAGTCTTTGTATATGTTTAAACTCCATCTCTGCATTAATGGTTCAGAGTAATGTGTCACACATCTGCAGTCTGTCCCTGCAGCATAATGACTGCATGAATATAAAAGCTAATCAACAGCTTCACAGACTTTATCCTGTGTGACATAGTGTCTGTGTGTGTGAGAGAGAGAGAGAGGAGATGGTGGAAAAACAGAGAGAGGACGCAGAGGTGATATGTTTCACAGATGTTGGCTGTATGTGGGGGAGACAGGTGATTATGTCATCTTCACAGAAACTCTCTGTTTTTATATGCTCATCTTTTCTCGTAATGTCTGCAGCCTTTCAAACCCAATTTACCACAAAAAACTAGCTACATTTATTTTCCTCTGCACCATCGACCTGAGCTCAAGTTCATGATTATTATTATCGTTGTTCTTCTTCTTCATATCATTATTATTGTCATTACAGATGAAATTTGATTTACAGCTGGAATTGAAGCTCAGGAAATACATGAAGCTCTGAAGATAAAAGCATTTCCACCGCCTAAGTGAATCTTCCTCTCTCAGACTGAAAACCTCAAATCTACATGACGTCTCACCTGACCTTCTTCTGCATGGAAAAGTCATCCCGTCCTCCCATCAGCCCCTCTGATTCAAGCAAAGGAGCAAAGGAGAGGTCAGAGAGAGAGAGCTCAGGGATCCTGTTCCTCTGAACTTTTATGAGACACGATTTAAGCACATGCAACAAAACATTTAACTGCAGGTTCTTTTCTTTCTTTTTTCTGTTGGCTTCTTTTCTTTTTTCTGCACCTATTTTACTGCAATTTTTTTTCTATTTTCCTGGAGTTTCTTCTCTTTTTCCTGCAACTTTTCTTCTTTCCTGCAGCTCCTTTTCTGTCCTTTTTTGCAGGTTCATTTCTTTTTCCTGCAGGTTTTGCTGTTGCTGTTAGACAGTCTCATATGATGCAGATTTCTGGAGTTGATTGGCTTTAACTTGTCTTGCTGTCTGCTGGTCAGAGAGAGGACAGAAGATGACAGGAGGGGAGGGAATGTGGTTTGTTGGCAGTGACAGATCCCTCTAAGATCAGGACTCAGCTGAGCTTTAAAACCTATCAGCAGCTCCCGCCAACCTACCAAGAGTCAAAGTGTCAAAGTTGTCAGGTGGGAGGACCCGGAAACAGGTATCAACATATTTTATTTACCAAAAAATGACAGGTGAGATAACAAGACACAGGTTAGGAGGGCCCTTAGTCACAAAGAAGGGAAAACACAGGAAGTTAAACTAGACTGGATACACTCTGGAAAATACTACAACATAAACAGGAAACACAGAGAACTGGACTTAAAGCAAGACAGAAATAGGAGGGAAAATATTCTATTAATACAAAACAAGAAAAAAAGGTTTAGAATAGAGAGCTCAACATGACAAAGAGGTAGAATCCAGGTTTTTAGCCTCCTTACTAACAGATATAGTGCGCTTGTTTGTTTGAAAAGTCAGCTTTGTCTATAAATCTGCAAAACTCAAAATCTTAATATCTTCAAAACAAAGGTATGTTTATAAAAAAAAAAGTCACCCCCTGTTCGGTGCACGCAGAGAGAAAAATGAGCTCTCCAGACCAATTTTTTTTTTCCAAACCAGGTTGTCATGTTGACTTCTGCTGTAAAGATGGACTCTTTAGAATGAGTGTGTAGGTGGTTTCTGGTGCCTCTGCAGACAGCCCCTGGTGGACTCCCAGGTAACTGCAGGTCTTGGCACTTCAACACAAGTTCATTTCTTAATACTGAGGGTTGCTGCCTGCCTCATGCAAGTACCTACCTCTCCTCCACTTTTCCTCTCCTCGTGGTCTCTGACTTGCAGCCAAACGTACTTAACTCTCATGGTTCACCTGCTTACACAACAATCACATCCACAAACACTCACTCACTCACTCAGACTGAGTGTGTGTCCCTGGCTCTAGTTCAGAGTAGCTTTTGGTCTGATTTACAGCTCATCCTTAGTGTGCGTGCGCTCACTGTTATCTGTTGTGTCATCCTGCACAGAGCCAGCTGTGAGCTCAGCGTTCAGGGACCATGAGTCCTCCTCACTGACGTCCAGCTGAATACCTACTTTGCAGATTTATCCCGTCCACTGTGCTCGTAAAGCCGTGATGTTCGCTCTGAGGAATGTGCTGGAATAACTGAGACTATGAGTGTGTTGATGCAGAGAACTGAGGTATGGCTGTGGACAGTAGAGCAGAGGTTATGGATGGTGTTCTGCTGTCAGTCTGTGAGAGAAGCAGAAAGAAAAACGTGATTTAATACATAAAAACTCTCAGAGCTCGTCCATCAGCAGCTCCAGTCTGATCCAGCTTCATGTATGCAGCATGTAAACAGATCTGCACTTATATATGAGTCTCTATTCTGACCTGTAAATACACTGCAGCACTCTGTCGCCCAAGACGAATCTCCACAAACTTCTCTCTCTGAGGACCTGGTACTGTCTCAGATCACAGAGGGTCAAAACCAAGAGCGAACCTCCGGACTGACAAAGAGAGGAAGGGTGGATGTCCTGGGAAACTGCAGTTCCTCAAGTGTCCACTTCAGGCTGTCTCCTGCAGTGAGTCAGTCTCCATAGAGCCCCATGAGAAAGGGTCCAATTTTCAGCCGAAATAAATATGTTTATGGCCTGGAGCAAAAAACAGTTTGGGTTTATCCGGCTGTTTTTGAGTGGCTAAAGGAGGGTTAGTGTTGGTGACCTTAGGCGTTGGAGAACACTCATATAAATTTCCGCTGCTGGAAAATGAGTGGAAAATCCCCAAGATGACAGACAAAAAGTCAACCGATTGGCACATGCCACAGGCCTCTCATGGCATACCACATTCAGCCTCAGCACAATGGCCATCCAGTTCTCCACTGATGTTCTTTGACGCCAAAACGGGGCAGCAGAACTTGTCTTTGTGAAACTGGGATGCAGTCCGAGATATAAGCA